TCTGTTTGCAGAGGACATGTCTTGTATGTGGGAGATCCTGAGGGACCTACAAAGAGAAAGGGCCACTCGCACCAGAGCACAGGCTGGCGAGCTTGCCGGTGTAAGATCAGTCTGCAAAATGCTGGTGTGTCTATAAACCAACAATGGCTAATCCAAAACTGGAACTAGAAAACAATTCCATTATAACAACATCAAAAAAAGAGAAATATTTAAGAATAAATCTAAGAAGAGAAGTACTTGATGTGTAAACTGAAAACTACCAATCACCATTGATAGAAGTGAAAGGTGACTTAGGTGGAAAGACACCCCACATCCGTGGGTCATGGCACTTAACACTGTTAAGGTGACAACACCCCCACAAGTTGACCTTTATATCCTATGCAGTTCTGTCAACACCCCAGCTATCTTCTGTCGAAGTCAACAAGCCGATTTTAAAATTCATACAAAAACGCAAGGGACTCAGAATAGCCCAAACTATTTTGAGAAGGCAGAACAGAATTGGAGCACTCACAATTCCCAATTTCAAAAATTTCTATAAATCTGCAGTATTTAAGACTGTGGTTTTATCCCCCCTCAAATCGATACTTTTATTGCATCTCTTAAAAAAAGTATCATCAACATGAGAAATTATCCAGTATCTTGCTGTTTCTGTAGCGGGGCAGTTTAATTCTCATCAGCCTGCTGAACTATGCCTTTTCCAAGAACATAGATACCTTCCAAAAATTCCCTGAGATCCTTGTTTTTAAATGTGGCGGCTTGCCGAATCAAAGCAGCTGAATTTGATACAAGTTCAATGTCATTTCCTTCAAGCATTAACTCATCTTTCTGCACCTGAGATACTCAACAAGGCACGCCTGGACGCATCCAAGCGCTGCCAATGTATTTTTGCCTAAGAAACTCCAGATTCCAGCAAGAGACTCATTTTCCTGAATAACAGCCCCGATGGGGAAGAGCAGGTGGACCTCGTCTGGCGGTGGTGGAAGACCCTCGATCGTGTTCCCTGCGCGACTGCGGATGGCGCCAGCAGCAGCCAGCCCCTTTCCATTGCCCCACCACCATTTGTAACCCAGAGCCTCTTTTCCTTTCCAAGGAGACTGAGGTGGGCATTGACGTGATTGACGTCCCCCCGCAGGGCGCCTCTCCGGACCCTCACAATCACAGGGCATCTCTTCAGGGAGAGGGCAACGTTTTCTGGAATGTCAACGGTCTGATCACTGAGAATGGTCTTTGTTCTCGTAGTAGATGCGGCAAAGGCGAGACAGTGTGGTGCTGGAACAGTGGCAGGCATGTAGATCACAGGGGTGGGACTGAGAGGAAAGAGCTAAACCCTAATATGGCCAGTGGTCTGGGTAAGGGCGCAGAACCAGCTCAGTGGGCCGGCGGCCTCTGGACAGACAGTGCTGGGCAACCTGATGCCGGTGTGCGCAAGGGTTTGGACCTCTGCTCACAGCACCGGAACATCGAGCTCTAAGTGAAACTCAGGCTGAAATTAAAGGAGTTCAATCTGTACAACTTTTAGGAGAAAACAGGCATAAATTCTCATCACCTCGGGTCATGCAGTGGCTTCTTAGTCGTGACATCAAACCACAAACAACAACAGAAAACATATGTTGGGCTTTATAACCATGAAAAACTCTGAACTTCGAAGCACGTGATCCAGAAAGTGCAGACAGCTCACCGAGTGGGTGCGTGTATCTCACACCGTATACCTGGTCGGGGACTTGACTGGAGCGTGTGAAGAAAGTGTACACTCGTAAGGAAGGACAGCCCAGTTTTAACGTGGGCAGGGGATCTGAGCAGACGTTTCTCCCAAGACATTTGTGTTAGACGCACAAACAGTCCAGCCCATCAAAAGATGTTCGACGTGATTAGTCATTAGGGAGATGCAGGTGGATGCCACTGTGTTGCTCACAGCAGAAAGGAAATAGCCAACTAGCCGGTGTGGTGGGACTGCAGAGAGGGGCCCTCCCACGCGCAGCTCGGGGTGTGAGACGTGTGGCATTTGGGAAAACAGTTCCTTGAAAGTTCGAGGTGTGGTGGAGTGACTCCTAGGGATCACCCCAAAGAAACAAAAAGGCACCCACGAAGGCTCATGCGCACAAGCTCGCAGCAGGCGCCCGTATCCCCTTAGCCAAGCCACGGACGAGTGGTGGTCTGTACAGTGGCACAGCACTTGGCAATAAAAGGAAAAGAATCCAGACCCGGCTGCCACGTGGGCAAACCCGAAGGGACTGCGCCTGCGAGGGGAACCCGCCCCGAGGCCGCGCAGTGGGCCCTGCTGCCATGGCAGGAAAGGCCAGAGTGGGCAGCTCCCGGGGCGGGAGGTAGATTAGTGATTGCCAGGGCTGGGAGGGGCGGGGGGCTGTTCAGGAGCACAGGGCTGCTTTTCGGGGTGACAGAAACACGCCAGCATCACTGAGGCGATGGCCGCATGTCCGTGTCCGCCGGAGTGAGCGGTGTGTGTGAGTCACCCGCGGGCTCCCCCGGCCCTATTTTTGCACTGCTGTTTGCATTTCAAAACATTAGATTTGAAAATGTGTCATTTTTGTTCTTTTTCAAGTAACTTTTCCTATTTTTAAACCCGTGGGGCATCAAATCAGTTTTTAGGTTAGGGAAAGCTTCGCAGAGTCTCGGTTCCCAGGGTGCTTGCCAAGCAGAGGCCTGCAGGACGAGCCCGAGGCCCTGACCTGTCAGCTGACGCGTTTCCATTGCATAAGACACATGGGGTGGGGGCGTGTCCGCCCTAAACATGTCCCGCTCCTGGTTAAGTCCTCGGTGAGCTGGCAGTGGTGGGAACTGGGACCAGGCGACTTTGGTCCGCCCTGCCTTTACCTCCACTCTCTGTGACCCGAGGCAGTGGTTAGTCAGGACAGGAAAAGTCTCCATCGACGTGTTTGCTTTGAGTCATTAGGATGTAACGGGCACCAGGGCACAGGCAGTCCCCGGAAGGGTCACCAGCTCCAAATCTGGTGCATTTAATACTAATTTCTCTCATGGAAAATCTGTCACCTTCTCCAACCTTCAGACTCAGACAGCACCACTCCCTCCCCTCCACCCCCCTCCCCGCGCGCTGCCTTGGTCACCCGCAGATGGACCGTCCAGGCCGCGCCTGTGGAATTCCGGGTGGCGTGGGAGAGATTTCCGTGAGGTCTGCGGCCGGCCCAGCAGCTGCGCTGACCCCCCGGGCTGAGCAACTGGGACACGGGGAATTGCCGGTGCCTGTCACCTGCCCAGGGCGCTCCCCGAGAAAGGAGCCTCGCCCTGCTGAAGCCTGCCCGAGAGGTGACCGCTGGGCCCGGGGCTCGGGCTCACTGCTCACTGCCCTAACGATCAGCCAAAGCAAAGGCGAGGCCCATCACCCCCCGGCCTCTCCCAGGGCTCCATGCAGGGCTTTCTCACGCTGGGCCTTTTCCTTCCCCTCCTCCCTCGCGGGAGTTTAAGAAGAGATGACAGGTCCTGCTGCTCTCTGGGGCGCAACCCCGAACCCCTTCCTCTGCTGAGGAACCCACTGCTGAGCTGTCGCTCAAGCCTTCCGCTTCCTCGAGAGCCAGGGGGCGACTTAGACTAAGCTCTAGTGCAGAGCAAGGCCTCGAAAGACCTCCCCACGCTACCCGAAGCAACTGCCTGTTTGGTGGAAGCCCCTGCAGATGGGCTGGGGTGGGCAGGGGCCGCGAGGGCGGGAGCAGGGACAGGTGCTGGGAGCGTCTTGCCTTGCCGTCTCCCTGGGAAGCTAAGGAGGGGAATGCTGAGGGGCCCCTGGGCCATGTCTGGGCAGCTGGCCCCCAAATAGTATGGGACCCCACGTCCTGACTTCCCTGCTCCTTGGACCTATGTGGTCTCTGAGGGAAGGGCTTGGGGCTCAGGCCGCCCCACTTCTTACAGTGGCCTGGGGCCCATCTGGGTCCAGGAGAGCTGAGTTCCTGGGAGATGCCAAGACTGAGCACGCGCTGGTTGACAGCTGGAGCCAGGAGCCGGGCCTTGGGCTGGGGGAGGGACCCAGTGGTGGCGGGGACGCTGGAAGGATGAGGCATCCGCAGGGCTCTTCAGAGCTCTGGGCCGCTCAGCCACACCCTCGAGGCTGGGGATACCTGGGGTGGCTTCGCTGTTCTCAGCTGGCCTGCCTTGCTCCCGTGCCTGCTGTTCTGCCCTTTCCTTTGCTGGATGCTCACCCCAGAGCCTCCCTCGGCCCCTTCCCTTCGAGTCTCAGGTGTCCTGGCTCAGAAAGAGTGACTCTAGGAGCTTCCCGCCTGCACCTCACCCTTCTCCTGCGTCATGTCTCTGCGCAGCAGCTGCCAGGTGACGTACTCTGTCAGTCACCTGCGCAGGGACACAGACTTCCTGCAGAAGGATGCAAATCAGCAGCCGGGCGGTGGCCAGGACGCCCAAGGCTGGGAGCTCCTGTCCTTGCAACAAAAAAGCCCCTTTGATTTATTAAAATACCATCTTTCTTCATTTCTTGTTTTGATACATTTTTACTTAAAACTGTGACCCAGGGACTGGCACAGCCAGCGCTGCCCATCTTTGCCATCAGCCTAAGTGGATGGTAACTTCGCGCCGACTTTCAGGTCCAGGGAGCCCAGAAGCTGGGTGCTGGGCCCAGGTCATCCGCTCCATCCAGAGCCCGGGGAGGGAGCGGCATGGGGCAGCGCAGCCCGCCTCGCCTGAGCTAGTTCCTGCTGAGACGTCCTGGCATCGGGCCGGAGGAGCAATGGGACCGTTCAGGTGACACGGCCAGTGGTGCCGGGCGTTCAGGTCAGAACCGTTCCTGGCCCAGGCTCTGCCGGACACCCAAGGAGCCCCTCATGGGGGCAACGGAATCCCCTCAGCTGTGCTGCTGGGTGTAGCTCCCCAGGTCCTTGGGGTTCGGTGCCCTGCACCCCACTCCCTGCCTGAGCCCCTTCTTAGGTTCACCTTGGCCTCCGGGGCGACCCTCTGGGCTCTCAGTGTGAGCTTAGGGGGTTCTCCTGGGATTTTGGTAACAAGCCAAATAGAATCCCAGTGACTTTCAAACTCCATGAATAATTTATGTTGCGAAAGATTAAAACAACAGGCCACACTAGGTCAAGTTTAAAGCAGTGACTTTGTTGACAAATGTTTACCCACTGGTGGCAAAGCTCCTTCCCAGGCGCATTTCTGGTGCTTCCTACTGCAGACGAGATTGTGAGGTCACGGCGTGTCCCCACAGGTCGTGGGGCAGGTGGACGAGCGGCCGTTTGTGCGGGGCAAGGGAAGGCGGCTCGCGGTGGAGGTGGTGCTGTCTTCGCCCCTGACCGGAGCTTGAGCCTCAGCGTGGCACACGCCGGGCCGGCCTGCTTGGACCTTCAGGTGGGCTTTCAGGGAAAGCATCAAACAGTTCTCGCCACATGAAGGTCGTTTCCAGACTCTAAACTCTGAACTCCAGGCATGTCGCATCTCCTCAGATCAACTTGCTGGTGAAACGAGAGAGAATTTCAAAGCTGCTTTTTAGGTTCTTTGTCTCAGTTTCTCCAGTGGGGAAAAAGTCTGTCAGAGCGTCAAAGAACTGGCTGTTCTTGAAGTGTTGGGGGAGAACAGTGAGTCATTGTAGCTTTTTGTGGGTATTTTAGTGTCCGGTTTACTTTTGAACTGTTGTGTGCAACTGCACTTTGTTGGGTTCCTGTTGCCATGGCGCCAGGATGTTTCCTCAAATCTGCTTGTTCATGCTTTCACACGCCCCGCGGCACAGCCAAGTCCTCAGGTCCTCGGGCGCAGAGTTCCTCATGCACGCATCCAAGGATAGTAGCATTTTCCTCCAAACTGGGAAAGTTAGTTGTTCTTCCCGCTGGTGGATCCTGGAAAAAAGGGGCTCGTCTCTGTGAGAGACAATGCAGTGGTGGGCAGGTGTGGCCTGAGCAGGGGCCCCTGGCATCTCTTGGAGTCCCGGCAGGCCCCACGCGTTCGCATGGCCGAGTCTGCAGGGGGCTGGCCTGGGGCATCCGGTCCAGACCCGGTTCTCCTTGGTCCTGAGCTGTGTTTGTTCTCTTCGCTCTTATTTATTTATTCACTTGCTTGTGGGCTTGGTGGACACGCCCCTGGGAGCAGGTCCTGGTTTCAAGAATCCGCAGTCTAAAGGTGAACGGCGCTGGCCCTGGCAGTCACTGGAAGTTCCTCTCGCCCTCTTCCTGCCGTCCGGGGTGATTCTTGGAGACACTTTCCTGCATCTCATTGCTTTGAGGAATGTGTATTTCTTTCATGGTTGTTCAGCGCTTCCAGAAAGTCCCAGAGCAGCCGGAAGCTGTAGAGTTTCCAATCACCCCGAGTCTTTGGCCTTCTGCAGTCTTCGGGGAGAGCAGGCTTTCCCCTGCCGCAGTAAGCGGTCAGCCTAGGGTCTGGGCTGGTGTTTGGGGCTGATCCTGCCGAGTGTTTCCAGGGTCTCCAGGGGGCACGGTGCTGGCTCGGTGGGCTCGCACTTCCCGTTCTTCCAGAATTTAAAGTATGCTGCGGCCCCCTTTCAGCTCCCAGCGCAATCGCTCCCTTGATTCAGAGGATCCCTTTCCAGCTGCGGGAGGCCCCAGGGGGGAAGCCCTCCTGGGGGAGGTGTGAGCTGACCACGGCAGACGAGCTGACTTTCTAAGAATCACTGAAAATTAAGATTTGCTCTTAGCTCAGGACACATGTGCGGTGAATCATCTCAGAAACTAGTCTTTTCTCCCCTCTGTGAAATTCAACAAATGCCAGTATTTCTTGAATGAATGAAATCGCTAACAACAGTGTCTTATCAGAATCCATGAGCTTTTCCTTTACCCAGTCACTGCTTTTCTTTCTTAGGCAAAGATCCCGGTATGTGCCTGTCCCTTGGGGTAAAAGTTGGGGGGACCCGTTGTGAGCGAGATGCCCCGTGGAGCTTACTGTCTGGAGAGGGAAGCAGACAGGACGTGGGTTAAAAAAAAATCAGGTCATGATTTTTATTTTAAAGAAGGAAAAAAGGATGGATCTTTGGTAGACTAAGGCTGGTGGTGCTCGGGCAAGGGCTGGTCAGCAGGCTCCTTTGGGGACCTCTGGGCAGGGGCCCAAGGGTGTGAGACAGCTGGTGAGGCTCTCAGGGGAGAGTGTTTTCGAGAGAGGGGCCAGCATGAGCAAAGGCTCAGAGGCAGGGATGAGCTTGGTGTGTTGGAGAAAGCAGGGGAAGGTCCGTGTGGCCAGAGCAAAGAGGGGGAGAGGCCAGGCAGGCCGCGGGTGGCCTGTGGCAGGATGTACGAAGTGGGAGGCGAGGGCATGACTGTGAGATGGGCTTGGGGTGGGGAAGAGACAGAATCTAAATGTCCGAGAAGGCTGCCTGTGCAGCCTGGACGTTGGAAGCAACCGTGGGGCTCGCTTGTTTTACTGAGTCTTTGGGGTTCCTTAGGGAACATTAAATTTTTGTTTAAATTTTAGTTATTCCACTCGCATGCCTGTGATCAGAGAGCCTGTGAGTGTGAATACACCCTGCTTGTGAGTAACAATAGGGCCTCAATGGTCTCCCCATGATCCTGTCAATTAAGACACGCAACTATTAATAGCATGTAAAATAATTCTCAGCCTGGCCAGCAAAGAGCTGCAAGTTCTGAGGACTCACCAAGTGGAAACCCCATGGGGCCTTTGTGTAGGATATGAGCCCGGTTCCTCCCTCCTCCCTGGCTGTTCCTGTTTCAGGGTGGCCACGGGGCCTGCTGTCTGGCAGTCTGAATCCTGGGAGGTCCCCCCACACACACACCGACTGGCCTGTGTCTCCTCTGCCCCGGAGCCGGAGGGGTGCCCGGGGTTGGGGGGCAGACTTCCTTCATCCTGCTGAGCACAGTCCAGGTTCCCGTCAGCTCGTGGTCAAGAAAGAAAGACTTTCACATTCAGTTCAGCTAATGCATGAGAGAACGGGATCTGAAAACACACATTCGAGGCCCCTGCCCCGAGGGCCCTGGTCCCTGCGGTGCAGACACACAGGGCCAGGCAGTCCTGTGAGTGAGGAGGGGCCCTCGGGAGGCCAGGCCTCGAGGCTTCGTTTTACTGGGCACAGGGGACGGTCAGGTGGTTGGGGTCTGGACGGTCATCTGGGAGGCTGTTCAGGGAGGAGGAGCAGTGTGAAGAGAGGGGCCGGGGCCTGCGGGTGAGGCCTCTCTTGGAGGCCGCAGGCGGCAAGAGTGGGCCTGGGAGGTGGGTAACTCTCCTCTCAAGCTTGCCAGCGAGCCCCGAGCGTGAGCTCAGGCCTGGACTTGGGCTGCAGTGAGTGCCCCGCGGGGGGCTGTGGGGCCCAGATGGGAGGCCAAGGCTCGGTAGCCGGGAAGGCCACGCGGACGCACGCACCTCGGAGGCCCTTTGTCAGAGTAACAGGTGAGGTCTGAATCCTCCATGCTGAGCGATGCTCAGTGGAGCTTTACTGGTTTTGTTTATTGGGGGGGGGGGGGGGGGGGTGTGACTATCTGTGTGTATTTTTCTTTAAAAGATGGGGTTTCTGGCAAGGTGAACCCAGTGATTCCTAGACGGGATAGGACTGGTAAACCCCACTCCTGCCTCTCGGGGGCTCACTGTGTGCAGACGTTCACACTGTCTCCTGGGGCACAGCTCCAGGCAGGGTGGGCCGCGTGAGTCCTGAACGCTGAGTCCTTACCACGCAGAGGAGTTTCACCTTTCAATTCCTTAAAAATCGGTCACCGACTTGATTTCTGTACCTGCCAGTGACACACCCAGAGCTCTGGCGAGGGCCACTTGTCCCCCCCACAGCCGCGGCCTCCCCTTTCCGAGAGCCCACTCCTTACTCGTGGGCAGTGTTGCGGGTGCTGTCTCACCTCCTGGAGCGCCTCAGGTTCACCAGAGAAGCAGGGAGGACCCGGGGGTGGTGGACAGAGCCCGGGCGCGGAGAGCCCTGGCGTGACCCCTGCCTGGCGTGACCACCGCTGGCCGGAAGAATTGACATTTGGATGGAAAATGGTTCCCGCCTTGGCAGGCGGGTCGGGCTGAAGCAGCCCAGGCGGGCGTCTCTCCAGCCCCGTGCACGGTGCCTGCGGCGGCCCGAGGCCCGTGTTCCCCCTGTGGACGAGCGTCCCCGGGCTGGCCTGTCTGCCTCTTTTTATTTAGTTATTTTTCATTCATTCATTTTTCTTACATCATTGTTCATTTCTGTACAGTACCTGACTCTCCCCGTGTGGACCCTGCGATTCTCCCCCGAGCCTGGCACCCACCCCAGCCCTGCGCGCGGCCCTCCCGGTTTTGGCTCCTGTCCGCCCTCCCCTGCGCGGGGCTGTGGTTTGCCTGCAAGTTTTGTCTTTTTCCTGTTCCTGGGTTCGGTTTCCCTGTGTTCCCTCTAGACACGAGACCGTCGATATTTCCTTTTTCCTTCTGACTTCTTGACTTAGCATGACCCCTTCCAGCTCCTTCCACGTTGTCGCAAACGGCATGAGTTTATCTTTTTTTGATCGCTGAGTAGTATTCCACGGTGGCTCTGGCCCACGTCTCCTTGATCCGTCCGTCTGCTTCGGGGAATTTGGGTGGTTTCCGCATCCTGGCTGTTGTAACTAGCGCTGTCATTAGCACGGAGTGCAGTTTTCCCTTCGAATTAGTGTTTCTGTGTCCTTGGCGTAGATTCTCAGGAGTGGAATCTCTGGGTCCTATGGTAGACGCATTTTTAGCGTGTTAAGGATGCTCCATACAGCCTTCCGCAGAGGCTGGACCAGGGCGCATTCCCACCAGTGGGTGAGAGGATCCTTTTTCTCCACGTCCTCGGGGCTGGCCTGTTTAAAAGATTTTTTTTTTCCTTTTTTTTATATTACTTGTACATTTGTTAAGACTGAGAAATCAGCGTTACTGTTAAATCACTCCAGACTTCTACTCCGAGATGATTTGTTCTGTGGGAGGAAGAGCAGGGCCCTGTCGTGCCTCAGACTGTGATTCAGGGTCTGAGCCTGTTTGTTTTCGGTGAGATGACTGTGTCCAGCGGGGAGGGCCTGGGAGTGGCCGGTTTCAATGGCCACCACAAGCGTGTCTGCCCAGCGGGGCTAGTTTTTGAATCTTTGGCAGCACCTGTGAGCGTGTTGGGCTGCACTGCCCGCCTGATGGGGCATCTGCAGGACCCTCCCTCTCTGCCCCCCGGGGCGGGGCCTACGAGCATGAGCTCTGCCCAGGACGAGCTTCGGGGTGCAGCTGCTCCCTGTTGTTGAAGTCACCGCTGCACAGTGTCCCTGGGTTAAGTCGCGTTACATGCTGATCTCTATCTCTTCCTTTGAGGAATGTTCGCTTTTCCGAATGAGATCACTGGAAACAAAGCACACTGTGCCCGCTGTTCGGACTCTTAAAGCAAAAGCCTTCCTGCCCAGGCCCTGTCCCCGGAGCCCCCACCATGCTGGAGCCTTGGAGACCAGAGAGAAGCAGGGGACCCCAATTTTCTCACAGGGGCTGACGGGACAGACAAGACAGATGGAGTGGAAGCTGGAGACAGCAGCCAGGAGCTGGGGGGGCCCTGCCCTGGGGGGTCCTGAGTGGCAGAGGGGCTTCCCGTGTGGCTGGTGGCGGATGGTGGGTGGGACTCAGCCCCACATCCTCCCTGCCGGGTGCCAAACCCACGTGTGGCTCCGTTAAACGTGTGCAGTTGTGTTTATGGAAGATTTCAAACCTCCAGGGTGAAAACATCTTCCCCTAAGTGCCCCACATGTGCGCCATCTGGGCACCGACAGACTCTGCCGGTCAGAATTACCCACACCGTCCAGCTCAACTTATCTTGAATCATTCATCCTGCAAATTTTTAGGAGGTGACGGTGATGTGTCGGATCCCGGAACTGGGACTGTGGAAGTGAACAAAACAGATCAGAACACTGCCTGCCCGGAGCTCGCCGGGGGGAGGGGGCCCGGACAATGAGCGAAGGAAACAATCAGGTGAACGACGACGTTAACACTGGAAGGACAGGCGAAGGACAGGCGTTCTCAGGAGGAAAGGAAAGCAGAGGCCTTCTCTCCCTGAGAGGGCGGGGAAGGGTCAGACCTGCCGGCCGTGGCCCCCGCTGGCCTCTTGCCGAGTTGGCCTGGGCTCCCTGTGGGGGGGGCCTGTGGGCAGAGAGCAGTGTGGGGTGCCTGGGGGTGCCGCCACCAGCAGGGCCTGGGGCGTGGTGGGGAGAGAGGAGGCCAGGATGTGTTTGGGGGAGGCAGGGTGGCGGGGAGGTGGGTGGGCAGGGGGCTGCACTCTGCAAGAGACAGAGTGTGGGGGGGCGCTGAGGCCAGGCTTGAGTTTTGAAAGGCCACTATGTTGAGAAAGAAATGTTGACTCAAGTGGGGGATTTTTGTTGACTTGCTTTGTGTTCTAAAGGTCTTCCATGCTGATCGCCCAGAAGGTCAGGTAGCTTAGAGGGTTACAGAGTGAAATGCAAGTTCCTCACCCCTGCCCTGGCAAGGCCGAGGCTGAGGGCCATCCCCATGCTGGCCCTGGCCCTGGAGTCCCAGCGGCTTCTTTCGTGCCCATGGGATCAGACTGTGCTCTGTGCTGCTGCCCATGGTGCCCACGCGGGGGGCTCGTCGGGCGTCTGCACGCTAGACCTGTGGCTGGCTGTGCCCCGGGGCCAGCGCGCTGTGGACTCCCTGTGGCCGTGACGAGGTTTTCAGCGCGTCTCGTGTCTGTCACGTTGAAGCCTGCACCGTAGCAAGTTACCTCGGGTGGGCTTGTCTTTAGAGCAACATTCGAGCAGAAGCAGCGGGGTCAAAGGACGGGTGATTCTCTTTTGTGAAGAAGCTCACATGTCGAGAGGTGGATGAGACCATGTCAGGCGCCGCATGGCCGAGCGGGGATCGCCGCGCGCACGCCTGATTGGCTGCAGGCACATCTGGCAGCACCAGAGACATGAACTTCCGAGCCAGCAGCCCAGATGGGAGAGTGAGTCATGGGCGCTCCTGGGGCGCCGCCCTTCCTCCGGGAGCCCCAGGCTGCAAGGCAGCTGCTGGAGGCGGACGGGCCGAACTTTGCTGTTCCCAGCTTATGCCCACGGCCAGCCACCTGCTGCCGCCCAGCCCTCCCCCCCCCACTGTTCCTAGCATCGTCCAGCGCCTTCTGTCCTCGGCAGGGTGTTCACGTCACAGCCGGCCGGCCCCAGCCCAGCAGCGGCTGCCTCTGCCTGTCGCCGTGCCATCCCCGGGGCTCCGAGGCGTGCCCGGCACGAGGCAGGTGCCCACAGGGCTGTTTGTAGAAAGAGTGGTGGACACTTTGGGGCAGACTCTCCCCTCACTCGGGCCCAGGCTGTGGCTTAGAAGAAGCTGTGGTGGTTTCCAGTTAGCAAAGAGCCTCCCGCCCAGGATCACAACCGGGGCCTTTGGTGTGGTGCCCCTGGCCAGGACTCGGGCAGCCCCGAGGGGCCGGGTGGGAGGGCGAGTCGGTGGGGCCTACCTCCCCGCGCTGCCTTGTGCGTTGAGTGGACTGGAGAGCTTTGCTGCCCGCTGCTGTCATGCAGAATGTTCTTGTTTCACAGAAACAGCCTTTGGCCTAAAGACCTGTTCTGGCTTCTCTTTTTGGAACAAATTAAGGACATTAAGGGGGGCGAGAGGTGCTTGTGTAATTTGTACCTGTTGTTTTCCTGATACCTGTTATCAGGTGCAGGGGGGGGGAAGAAGGTTGTGCCGGTCACCATCAGGCCCAGGGCACCCTCGGCGCCTCCCTGACCTCTGACTCTGCGCTATTCTAGGCGCAGCTCCAAGTGCTTAGTCAGTGCAGAGCAGCCAGACCAAGATCCGGAGCCACACCCCTGCCGGGGTCATTCCTGAGTGCCAGACTCCTGCCCAGAGCCTCTCAGACACCCGTCAAGCACCCACTGTGTGCCTGTCCGGGTGGGGGTGGCGTGAGGGTTTCAGCAGGGGTGCGTCTTTGCGCTCAGATCAAAGCATGTGCCTGTCCTGCCCTCGTGCCACAGGCGTGTTCAGGTCTCCCAGGGGAGGCACCCTGGGGGGCTGCCCTGTGCTCCCCTGATGACCAGAGAGCCCACAGTGGTCACCACGCCCTCCCAGAGCAGCAGAAAGAGGAGGGAAGGGCTGTTTTCTGTCGAGCGCCTGCTGGGTGCAGCACGGGGCCACCGCTGTGGAGTCAATGAGATGCGCAAAGGGCTTGCAGCCCCAGGACCCCCCACCCTGCGCCCCAGCCCGCGGGACCTCTGGCGTGGCCTTCCTGCCCCTCACCTCTGTTTTGGTTCCTGCGTTTGTGAGCGTGATGGCTGTGGTTTGTCATCCAGGTCACCGCCGCTAACCCTGTGGTTCCTTACGCAGACCGTGCGTTAAAATGGCAGTAAAGTCCTAAAAATTAGGAAGCAGGTGTGTTCTTTCCCGATAGCTCCTTTTCACAGCATCCTGGTCTTGTTTTATGCTAGGCTAACCCTTGACTCTCTGAGGGTTCTTATCAGAATTTACTAGAATTTCCATTTTCTTCCCTCAAGTGTCTGTTTTCCCCAGAAATCAGTTCAGAATGGAAGTTGTTCTGGTTGAAGAGCCGTGTGTGTGTGTGTGTGTGTGGTGGGGGGGGGGGTGTTGTGCTGAGGGCTTGGGGAGCTGATCCCTGGGCAGGAACTGCCCTCTGAGGCGAGTCTGGCCCCAGGTGGCCTCCCTAAGGGGGTCTGGACCTGAAGGGTCCCAGTGAAGTTTAAAAATTCCCCCCTCCCCCAACTCTGCTTTCTCAGCTCTAGGCATGGGGCTCCTGCCCTAGGCTCACTCCTGCCTGGTGTTTTGGGGGTGACTTTCTCTCAACCCAGCCCTTCGCTTTCCTCAGAGAGTCCACTGCTCCCCACAAAGTCACAGGAAGTGCCTGGGATGGGTGGTCTTGTCTTTGCTTTTCCTGTGGCGTTGGGGAGGAGGCAGGAGTGGCTCAGCACCTGCTACCTTCCCAAAGGTGAATTCAGGGGCCATTTTCTGCCACCAGGTCAGACCACCAGAGCCGTCTCGGTGTGGTGGTGCCTGTGGCGCGTGTGCCAGGAGGCAGAGGGCCGCGGGGCAGAAGAGCTCCGGACCCCACACCCCTGTGCTCGTGGTTGGGAGTTAACGGAGCTCACTCAGCGCTGTGCTGAAAGGAAAGAAGTGGGTCCAGTTTCTGGGCCGTGCGTCTTCCCGAGGTTTAAGTAGGTCTTTAGTACGCGACCGAGGCTCCCAAGAGCAGCCGGAGAGTGACAGGTGCTCCCTTTTTCCAATTCAAGGCTGACACACGCGTTTCCAGATCTTTCCAGCTGGAGCCTGGCCGTCTTGGCACCGGAGGGGCTGGGGTGGGGGTGTGGGTCCCACGTGGCCATCAGATCCCGGCCGGGAATGAGCGTGCCGAGTGCTCCCGGAGGAGGATGTTCCTCGTGTCATTCCCAGACGTGCATCTTTAGGGCAGAGACAGGTCCTTGGCCTCCTGTGACCTGCCGTGGCCCTGACCCCTCTCCGTGCACTTAGGCAGAGCCCGTCTGCCTGTGCTCATGCCCAGCTGCCCCCTGCCCTGGGGGGACGGGCGCATCCTCGCCTCCTGAGCCTTTCACAGCGTCAGGGCTGACCACGCGTGACACGGGGCAGTGGAATGAACTTGAATTTGGAAGCACAGAACTTGGTTTTGAGTCTTGACCTCGCCATTTATCACTACTTCATAACCTCGAGCAAGTTCGCGGGCCTTCAGCTTCTCAGCTGTAAGCAATAAAAATGCATCACTCCGGCAGGTGGGTGCCGCACTGCTGGGCCCAGCCACGGGTGCTCTGCCCGCTCCTGGTTCTCCCTCATGGTCTCTGCCCTTCCCCAGGGATGGGGAAGATGGTTTCGTGTCAATCTGTCCATCTGAGACCACAAACTGTTCTTCAGAAAGCCCTGGGAGCTCTTCCGTAGCGGTTGAGAGTTTTCACTTTGTGAAACACGTGCGTGTGCACACACCCAACGCGCACATGCCTGCGCCCGGCACTCCCTGAAGGAGCTGCTCTCTGCCGAAGGCCGCGGCGGAGGTGGAAGGGACTTGCTTTCGTGCCTTGGGAGTTAAAACGCGCAACAATCTGTTTCTCTTCTCCAGGCCGGTCTGCGGCTCTCAAGCATCTGGAGCTGACCCCTGGGCGCGAGCGCTCCACGCGCCTGCTCCGGGGCCGAGATGTCTGTCACCTACGATGACTCTGTCGGCGTGGAGGTGTCCAGCGACAGCTTCTGGGAGGTAAGCCCTGCCCCCTCCTGGTGAGCATGGCCACCAGGCCTGTGGGGCTCGGCAGGCTCTCGTTTTGGGGGACAGGGATTGCAGGCTGAGATGCGTGTACCCCGGAAGCGGGCAGGCGTGTGGGGCCAGCAGGTCGGCTGGGCGGTCGGCGAGGGCAGGGAGCTCCCCTGCTGGGGACGGCGAGGTTCCTTGAGGTCGGAGTGTCTGTTCGGGCTAAGGCCGCGCCTGGCCAGAGGTGCTGTCGCTTTCGCACGGCCATGATGGGCATCATCCGGGACAGGCAGCGGCCACGCGGAGCGGGCTGTGTGGCGCTTGTCCCCGTGCCCGGCCGTCCGTGCGGTGGCAGGCTCCCGCCCCCTTGAGTGATTTGATGAGTTTTAAAACTTTTTTGGGAGTCACTTTTCTTGCACCCCGCTTCTTCCTTCTGCCTGCTGTTGGTCAAAGGAAAGTCCATTATTAATCAAGTTTTGTCCTGGTAGCTAAAGCCCTGGAACTTTCTTGGCAGTTGTGGCCTTCGAGCCCTGGCTTCCCAGGTGGAGAGCCCTGGGTCCCGCCCTGGCTCCACTTTACTAGCTGGGTGGCCCCGTGAGGGCTGCTTGCCTGACCTGAGCCTCGGGGTCTTTGTCTATAAAGGGGGGATGGTTCTGGCCTTTGAGGGAGGCTGCCAGACCGAGATGAGGACACAGGCCCCTTCCTCACACGGGCAGGGGCTTGGGCAGCGGGAGACATGAGGCGCTGGCCCGGGGTTGCTGTCAACGTCGGTGGGTCGGGCGTTTCCTTTTGTCAGATACCACCTGACTATCGTCTGATAAACACAAGTGACCACAGATGCCCACGTTTTAAAACGATGGGTGAGGAGCTCAGAACTATCAAGTTTTCTTTCCTGTATTTTGGGGGGGAGTCATTGACCTTCAGCTGAAGACATCATTTTATTAGAAGTGTTGCTGGAGCACGCAGGCTCTCCACACCTGGGGAGGCCCCGGCGGGGGTTGTGACAGCTGAATCCTTGCCCCAAGGAGCTGGCTTCTTTGAGAGCAGAGTCAAACTGGCTGGCACCGAGCATGCGGGCTCCTTGGCTGCTAGCAGCTTTGCTGGTGGGCATCCAGGCTGGAGCGCGACTCTCAGTCACCAGAGAGGCACATCTGCCCCAAGAAGCAGTTTCACAGAAGAGTGACAGGACAGGGATGGTGACGGATGTGTCCCAGCCCCTGGGCAGCAGTGGCTCCCTGGCATGACCTTCTCGCGGCCCAAGCGGGTGGTGATGAAACCAGGTGCATGTGGAGGTCCCCGGACGTGCTGGGGTTAGGACGGCCTCCACCTGTGGGCCACCGGGAGGTTAGGCCTCGCTCCCTCGAGGACACCTGGAGCCTGGTGACTGCGCAGCCTCCGTGCACCCACGGGGCTGGGCTTCAGAGGCAGCTCTGGATCCTCTCCACGCCGAGCCCGAACCGTCTCTGGCAGCTTCTAGGTCATGGGCATCCGCCTTGCACCTGCTAGGGTTCATGCTGCCAGGTCTTGGTGGGGGTGGGAGGCAGGGCCAAGCGTGCTGTTGCCAGGTGGCACGGGTTGACTCCTGCCCCCACCACCTACTCTGTGTTGAGGCTTTGGACAAGTTACTAATTTTCTCTGCCTCAGTTTCCCAATCTAAAGATGGAGGTAGTGGCGGTCGCCAGACCTGGGGTTGCTGAGTGCTGCATGTGTGTGCCTGTGCGTGCAGTGGGGATAGCAGGCCAGTGCTGCCCCTGATGGGGGTTGGCGCTACAGCCTTTCACCTGTCCTCCAGGGGGGCCGGCACTACACCCTATCACCTGTCCTCCAGGGGGGCCGGCACTACACCCTATCACCTGTCCTCCAGGGGGGCCGGCACTACGCCCTATCACCTGTCCTCCAGGGGGGCCGGCACTACGCCCTATCACCTGTCCTCCAGGGGGGCCAGCACTACGCCCTATCGCCTGTCCTCCAGGGGGGCCGGCACTACGCCCTATCGCCTGTCCTCCAGGGGGGCCGGCAGCCCCGTCTTAATTCCCAGTTGATAGGGAGAATGCTCTGGAAAAGTGAAGCAGCCCAGGAGAGCGCGGCAGCAGGTGGAGCGGCTGCTTACGCCCAACACATCACACAGTTGTCTCAGCCCTTCATTGACTCAGGCTCCTGGGCTTCCTGCTGGGTTCTTAGCTGTGCAATGACAGGAGACAAGAACCTCCCAGAGGCTCACCCAAGCCTGCCTTTCGGGCTGAGAGGAGACCAAGCTCCCCGCACCGCACCAGCATGGACGAGACAGCGACTGGCCGGGGGCCCTCTCCTCCCCGGTCAGCTTGTTATAGGACAGGGAGAGGGGTTACAAGCTCACGCCGCTGGCTCACTCTTGGGGCTTCCTCTGCTAGGTGGAGAGGGAGCAGCTTGGGTGCTTGGGCCTTTGGGGTGAGTGTTCAAGCGCTTGAGCATCTGAGTCGACTCTCTGTCAAGTGGCCCTAGTAGCCTGCAGGTTTGGGGTGCGAGACCACAGCAGGCCTGAACCACCCACAGCCTTGAGCTCTGACCTCCCTGGACCCGAGGGGCTGCTGGTTGGAAGGCACCACCTGGCCGCCACCCATTGAGTCTGGACTCTAGCCCTCTCTGTTCTCAGCCTGAGGAAGGTTCTGGAAGGTGGGCTGTGCCTCTTCCACCTACATGATTGTGGATGACTTTGCCTTTTCAAACCTGAATTTCTTTGTAAACTGGGAGCACTGACCTGCCTACTATCAGGACCTCCATGAGGAGACCCCCCCAGGGCATCAGCCGCTGCCCAGCAGGCACCCACAGGCCCCATTATGATGCTGCTGCTGCCCACCTGGTGCCTGGCACCTGTTGCCAGGAGGCCAGTGTCCAGATGGGCAGGAGGCCGATGCACACAAGGCCACCAGCACCATGGGGGGTGTGTTTGGAAGGGCCCGGGTGGCCCCTCTGTGGACCGGCCAGCAGGAGCCCATGGTGGGCACCTGGAGCCGCCTGCCTGCCAGCGCCGGTGATGCTGGTGGCCCCACGTGGTGGGCTGGCACGGACGGCGGGTGTCAGGGAATCCTTGGTGGGGACGACCAGCTGAGCTTTACCAGGGAGCCGGAGTCGGGGCAGGTAGGACCGGACCTGTGCCTCAGCACCCACCTCGCCCTGGCTTCCTCGCCCCCTTTTGATCCCGGCTCCCCTCTTCCCTCTGCCCCGGCGAGGGCACACATGTCCTGGTGAACTTTCAGGGCTTGTGTGCAGCGTCTTACTCACATGGAGGACAGTGTGCCCCTACCTCGCACACACATTCCCGGGGAGCAGCCTCCTCCATGCCTGGCCCCTTAGCAGCCGTGCAAGGTCATAGCTCAGGACTGAAACTGCCGGGCCCTCGGGGTGCGGTGCTGCCTGGCTCTGCCCGCTGGGTTCGCAGTCTTCACCACCAGGGGCACAGAGGCTCCCGTCCGCCCACTCTACCCCACACGTGACATTTCCCTGGGGTACGCCGGTCCCTGCGGGGTGAGAGCGGCCTCGCTGCTCTCTGGGGCCTTCCCCCAGGTCCCGCCAGTGGGGGCAGCTCGAAGCCCCGAGCGCCCAGTTCTCACTGAGGTTGCTGTCCACACCCAGGGGGCCTTTTCCACTTCCATGTGCTGACTTCCGGGGCTTTGCGGTGGTGGTTTCTGGATGTTTGATGTGATAAAGTGTATTTACATGCTATGTGCACACGCGTGGACACAGCGCTCGTGTACGGGGGTGCACGCATGTACGTATGTCCTCAGCATCCTGATAGTTTTTACCTTTGAAATTTGGTTTAAGGAGTCCTGCCCTCCCAGGTCACAAAGACACGCGCTTGCGTTTTCTTCCGGCCACTTGACGGTTTTGCGGTTTGCTCGTTGTTGAGCTCCTGCCGGGTGGCGGGACAGTGGGAGGCCATGGGGGGAAGGGCGGGGGCCCAGCCTCCTCGGGGCACAGTGTCAGAAGCTGATGTCCCATCAGGCCTGAGGTGCGGGAAGTAAGACTGTCCAGGGCCTGGCTGCTCCCGGCTCCGCTGGGCCTTGAGTCAGCGTCAGGACAGCCGGAACCTCCCTAGGGGCCCTGGGGCGGGGGGTCCAGAGTCTGCTGGATTCCTCGCGCTCAGATGAACCCTGGGCAGGAAGAGGCCCAGCTCTCTGGTGCCTCAGGCCCCTGCGTGGGGTGTGCGAGCCTGTGCTTCAGGGCCGGTTCCCTTCTCCCTTGGGCCCTGGTTTCAGCCAGGGACTTGGTTGTCGTCGTCAGCCGGTGACTGGCCAGAGGGGCCTGATGGTCACCGGCTGAAGGGGGAAGTGAACCGGAAGGTGCATGAAGTAAGCGGGCGTGGCACCCTGCTGGACGTCCCCCGCACCTGCGGCCTCAGTTGACCCCGCTAATGGCGCCTGTGGGGTCAGCGGGGCCAGGTCGGCTCACTCCCTCTCGCCCACCTGGGCTCCTGCTTCCAGTCCTCCAGCCTTTCTGTTGCCTGTGGCCACAGAGTCCCGCAGCAAGGAGGTGGCCAAGATAAGGCGGTTGTAAAAGCAGACCTGGAACATGCTCCAGCGTCCTCAGGCAGTTCTGGACTGTTTTCAGCCACAAAACCTGCAGGAGGAGCAGGAACCGGTGTGACCTGTTGGAACAGTCCTTACCGGCACCTGTAATAATAAACCCGCTGCCTGCTAGAGCCGCTGTCTCTGCTGCCTGCGTCACGCTGGTCCCCGACAGGACAACAGGACGGCTGGGCTCCAGCTCCTCCGAGCTGCCCCTCTCCAGCACCCCCCCACCCCCGTGCCACCCAGCAGGCTCTTGGGGGCCGAGGGACTCCAGGGGAGGGTTAGCCCCAGACTCACTGAGAGGAGAGCTCTGCAGTGGGGCTCCAGGGCGGGGAGCCGGGGCAGGAAGGGGCAGGGCCGGCTTCGAGCTCGCAGCGCCTTCTGTCTCCTAGGTCGGGAACTACAAGCGGACCGTGAAGCGCATCGACGACGGCCACCGCCTGTGCAGCGACCTCATGAGCTGCCTGCACGAGCGGGCGCGCATCGAGAAGGCCTACGCGCAGCAGCTCACCGAGTGGGCGCGGCGCTGGAGGCAGCTGGTGGAGAAGGGTAGGGGCCGCGCTGGGCCTGCTTCCTCACTGGTCAGAGCGGGGCTGGGTGCGCCTCGGAGTTCTGGGGCCCGGGACTCTTCCCCCTCTGCTCCTTGCCATGTGCCCAGCCCTTCTGCCGGTCTGCCCACCCCTTACGGGCCCAGGCTCCCATCACGCCCGCTGGGTGAAGGCTTTGCCGCCCTGCTCACCTGGCCCCCTACTGAGGCGGTTCATTGTAACCCAGCCAGGTGGCAAGTCAGCTGGGAGGGCCGGAGGCCGCAGCAGGCCTTCCACTGTCTACCTTTAACAGTGGGTAAGGGGCAGGTTTTGCCCCTGGGCTCAGCACAGAGCCTTGGTGTGGAGCAGGGGCCAGGGAGGGGCGGCCCACAGGGGTGAGGAGTAGCTGGGACTGGGTCAGCTTCGTAGGTGAGCGGAGATCTTGTTTCTGCCCACCCGAGGCCCCTCTCTCAGGGCCAGCCATCAGCACCAGGCCCACGGAGCACGCCTCCTGGCTAAACTCTCTGGGTTCTGTCTCTCCCTCTTCCCCTCCACCCACGCCACGGTGCTCCTGCCCATCCCTGGCGAGCGCTGGAGGACAGGCCCTGGCCTTCCTGTTTTCACCCTCAGCTTTCAGCCTAAATAGCAGGCTGGCTCTCCCCTACCCCGCCCAGACCCCTGCCCCCCCTTAACAGGAGGACAGGCTGGGTTCCGGCTTCCTTCCTGAGGACAGAGTGCAGTGGCTCTGGCACCCCCGCAGCACACTCTGGAGATTTCCATCTGGACCAGAGCTGCTCTCCTTCCTCCCTCAGCACAGGGCTTGTCCTGGGAGCCAATGAAGGGGAATGTTTTGCCCAGCGGGGGCGGGGTGGGGTGCAGGGTGGGCTCTGAGCAGCCTGGGGAGCACTCCCTTCAGAAGGCCCCTCCTCCATCAGCCTTAAGCAAATTAAGACTGGCGTGATGAGTTTTTAAACAATTCAGTGATTTTATGAAAAAGAAATATCTATCCTCCTCCAAGGGCCCTCGTAAGCTGGAGAAAGGGGCAGCTGTGGAGAGAGCAGGGGTGAGACAACTCCCAGCCAGCAGCTGGACTGCTGGCCAGAGCCCCCTCCCACCCCCACAGGGAGGGGCTCCCAGAGACGGCCCGTGCCCAGTAACCCACCAGCTTGTCTTCTGTGCAGGGCCACAGTATGGGACGGTGGAGAAGGCCTGGATGGCCTTCATGTCCGAGGCGGAGAAGGTGAGCGAGCTGCACCTGGAGGTGAAGGCCTCGCTGATGAATGAGGACTTCGAGAAGATCAAGAACTGGCAGAAGGACGCTTTTCACAAGCAGATGATGGGCAGCTTTAAGGAGACCAAAGAGGCTGAGGACGGCTTCCGGAAGGCACAGAAGCCCTGGGCCAAGAAGCTGAAGGAGGTGAGTCAGTCCCTCTTGCAGGGGCAGGCTCCCTGCCTGGCCTGCAGGCCCGGCTGCTGGTCCCCCTGAACTCCCAGGCGCCCCTGTTGCTGCTGCGGGCACAGGATGCCATGGCTGGCAGAGAAAGGCTGGAAGCCACAGGCCCAGGTGCCCAGCCTGGGGTGCTTTGTGTGCGCTCAGACGTTGGGCCCTTAGCCAACCCGTTTTACAGTCGTGGAAACAGGCCCGAACCACCCGCCGTAGTAAAGCTCAGAACCCAGGCTCTTACCCGCTGACAGTGCTTCCCCGAGCCCCGGGGATCACCACTAGGCAGGCTGACCAAAGTCCCTTTAGGCCCTCGAACGGGTTAGCCTCTGACACAGGCTCCTGGCTCAAACCTGCAAACGATACTGATACTCACTTTCTAAACGCAGCAACGGAAATCACTGAGTCTTGGCCAGCGCTGGCTGGGGGAGGCGATCCTCACACCCAGGCCAGCCACTCCTCCTGGGGACACGAGCCACTGCTGCCACCCCGCTCCCTCGACCTGCTTTCCCCGGGAGCTGCTCTGCCCCCCTCCTCCTCAGTCACCCCAAGACAGGTGGCCCCTGTCTTGGGGCGGCAGCACTAGGCGTCCTTCTTTTCTGTCTTTGGCCACATCTCCTTTCTCTTGTTGCCGGCCCCTTCGTGAGGGGCCCGAGGGGGGTCGTCTCACTGTTGCCAGCTCTTCTCTCTAGAATGAAATCTGTGACTGGCTCAAGTAATGGAGTGTTTATTGAATAGACAGCTGTATCTAAGGGGGCGTGTGTAAGTCACGCTGTGTGTATAAAACAGCCGCTGGGAGTTTGGAAAACGTGGCTGTGGCCCTGCCTCTGAACACCGCCACCTCGTGTAGATTTCTCCTTTGGAACGTTCTCTGCATGCGCTGTTCCAGCTCCCTGGCATGCTGTTCCCTCAGACAGCCACATCTTCATTTTTGCTCCATGTCACCTTGGATGGCTTTCAACTGTTCTCTACACGATCTGTCAGCCCAACCCCGCCCGAGTGCTCCCTGCCACTCAGCTTTCTTCTCCTTGGCACTTCTCGCCTCCACAGCTACTCTGTAACTTGGCTCCCTCTTGTTGCCTCTCCTGACCGGACTGTAAGCGCCGCAGAAGCCCAGTTCTTTGCCTGGTTCAGGGCCCCGGTGCCCAGCACGGTGCTTGACACAGAGCAGGCTCCGGCCCATGTCCGGCGAGCCAGCATCTGTTGAAACTGGCGGGAACAGCACTGAGCGGCTGCGCTGCCGTCCCTTCCTCGGCCCCTCCTCGGCGTGGCAGGCCAGCGCTTCCCCTGCTCTCTGCAGCCGCCTCCAGTGAGGACTGTGGCATTCGGAACCTTCTCCCGCAGGTGGAAGCAGCAAAGAAGGCCTACCACGCAGCCTGCAAGGAGGAGAAGCTGGCCATATCGCGCGAGACCAACAGCAAAGCAGACCCGTCCCTCAACCCGGAACAGCTTAAGAAGCTGCAAGACAAAGTAGAAAAGTGCAAGCAAGATGTGCTGAAGGTGAGTGGTGGCCTCCCGAGGGTGCTGTCGCTGTGGAGGTGGCCTCAGGCTGAGCCTTGGCCGCTGCAGGGTGGGGCCAGGGGTGGGGCCTGGGTCTCCCAGCAATTCCACAGCCAGACAGGGCCGGGCTCTCCAGGACCAGAGCGGGGGGGTCCTCGGGGCTGGACTTGAGGGGCACGAAGGCGACCATTCAGGGTGCTCCTCTCCTCACCGCTGCTTTCAAGTCACCAAGTGACTGTTCAGGATGGTTGCCCCATGAGTCAGTCTGGCTGCCCACGGGGCCAGCAGCACGGGAGGCAGAACCTGCCCGCCTCTACCCACCAGAGGGCGTCAGGGCCCGGGCGGAGAGGAACCCAGCCCGGCTTTCCTTGCAGACCAAGGAGAAGTACGAGAAGTCCCTGAAGGAGCTGGACCAGGGCACCCCCCAGTACATGGAGAACATGGAGCAGGTGTTCGAGCAGTGCCAGCAGTTTGAAGAGAAGCGGCTGCGCTTCTTCCGGGAAGTCCTGCTGGAGGTTCAGAAGCACCTAGACCTGTCAAACGTGGTCAGGTGAGCGGCTTTTGCGCTACAAAGCACAGCTCCAGGTAGTGGCAAGTTGCCTTTGAGTGAAGCTCAGTCGCTGCTCTCCAGACCAGGGGCTGGCGTTGGCGGAGTCTCCCTGGTGCCAGGTTCTGCGCTGCTATGACCATGACGCCAGGAGGACCTTCTGCTGAGCCTGCCTGTGCCTGGTGGTCAGCCTGGCAATAGCCTGGAGCTTGGAGCTGCTGACCGCTGACTGGTCACGCTGCTACACTCTGCCCACCCCGTGCAGCCCTCTGGTCTGGGCAGGAAGGGCGCCTCCCCCTGGGGGCTGCAGCTCAGCCAATGCAGCCAGCACAGCTGGAATCAACTGGGAGTACATCCGGCATCCCCAGGCCTGCACCGGCCCCTGGGTCTTGCGTGAAACCCTGTGTGAGGCCCCTCCCGCCTTGGGCAGCTGGCTGCCGCTTGGTCTAAGGCCAGGCAGCCAGACCCTGAGGTTGGTTCTGAACTGCGACCCGGAAGCAGTGATTCTCCTTCCACCCGCCCCTGCCCTGGTCCTGTGATGCCTTCGCCAGGGCAGAGGCCTGCGCTAGCTGCGCTGTCCTCCCGGCAGAGCCTCTCGGAAATGCATCACAGGTCAGGGCTTGCCAGTGGGGAGTCACTTCCCCTCGTCCTGCACAGTCAGAAGGGATGGGACGGCGCAGGAGGCCGCGCCTTGTGCCGCAGCTTATGACAGTCTCGCAAAGAGGGGCCTTGTCCCCATCTTGTTGATGAGAAGCTGAGGCTGGGCGCTGCTGAGTGACCTGCCAGGGGCAGCAGCAGCCGCCATGCCCGCTCTGTTGTCCTGGTTGGCCTGCTCTGTCCCTTGGGTGCTCCACACCCCTGGGAGCAGGTGGTGCAGACGTGGCGAGGACTAAAGCCACAAGAAACGTCCTCGCTCACGCTCTGGAGGCCAAGAGTTTGGGGTCTGTTGCTGCAGCCCCCCGGGAGGGGTCCTCCTGCCTCCCAGCCGCGCCATCAGCCCTGGTGTCCTTGGTGGGTGGGCAAACCCTATGCACGTGGCACCTTCCGCGCGCGCCTGTGTCCACCCTCCCCCTTCTATAAAAAGGTGTCCTCTGACACCCAGTTTCCTGATAAGGTCACATTCTGAGACACTGGACTTTTGGTCAGACCCCAGTGTGCCTTTGTGGAGGACACAGTGCTCCCCACCCAGATAGCACCAAGCCCCCTCTAGGAGGGGGAGCCTGAGGCCCCGAGGGGCAAATGTGTGCCAGGCGCACGCATCAGAGCTGGCTGCACCAGGCCCCAGGGACAGCCCGCCTGCCCAACCGGCCGCTTCCTGGCAGGTGGGTGGGCTTGACTGCTGGCAGAAAGCACCCCCAGGAGCAGCTGGGCCCCGTGGCCGCCGCAGCTTGCTCTGCTCGAGTCGGGCTTGCCTCTCCGCTCTTGCGCTCTGCATGTAAATCATGCAGCTTCTTTGGAGGGACGATTCTGGGCCTGACTAAATGAAACAGACGGTGCCCCAAGTGGGCAAATGCTGTTGCTACCAGCTTTGATTTAAAGCTGATTTGCTGACCGCCACAGTATGGCTTCCAAGCCGTGGAGCTGCTTCTTCCCTCTGTGCTTGTCACTGCAGACGGCCCCCCTTCGAGCAGGGCTGGTGTCAGGACCCCGGGGTGACTGTCCCGCCTCCCCAGCGTCTTGCTTCTCTCTTAATTAGCTACAAGCACATCTACCGCGATCTGGAGCAGAGCATCAAGGCTGCCGACGCAGTGGAGGACCTGCGCTGGTTCCGCGCCAACCACGGGCCTGGCATGTCCATGAACTGGCCTCAGTTTGAGGTGAGGGCGCTGCACTGTGACCTCGTGGCCTGTGGGGGGGGGCGCATTGAGAGTCTGGGGGCCCGGCCTCACCCCAGGCCTCAGACTCTCCAGTGAAGGTGTCATTATGCTCTTCTCACTTGGGACTTTGACACGGTCACTTGTTGGCCATTGGCATGCCCTTCATGGGGACAACCAGAGCCCCCTCCCCTGGTTCCCTGCCCCACCCACGGGATGGCCAGAGGGAGTGGCCGGGCACACAGCAGCCTGGCAGGCCAAGGGCCCCAGCCCAGAAGCCTCTGGTGCGGGGCCAGGGGCGGGGACTCTGTGTGGCTTCTCTTAGTGGGGATTCTTCTTACGTCAGCCAGCAAATCCACCCCGTTTGGGATCAAGGTTCATGTTCCTCTTTTCCCATTTTCACGGGTCTGAGCCTTCCAGTATTTTTATATTGCAAAATGTGAAAGCCGGGCATTGGGTCTTTCGCCCCCAGGACTGGTCGCCAGGTCCCCCCTGGCCTCCAAAGGCAGCAGCAGCTACCAGCGCTGCCCCCTGTTCTCTGAGGGAAAACAGTCTCCTGCCTCGTGGGAAGCCCAGGCCGAGGTCCCTGACGGGTGGTGGCTAGAGCCCAGGCTCACCCATCCTGCCTCCCCACTTGGCAGCTGTGGGGTGCCAAGCAAGCCCTTTGCCCACAGCGGTCCCCCCCTTGTGTTGGACGGGGATGGCACAAGCCCATCTCCTCAGCAGCTGGTCGGCAGCCCAGGCCCTGCCCCAGCAGGCTGCAGCTGTCAGCCCCCGGCCCCGCCCACCGCACAGCAGCCTCCTGGTGCCCTCGGCTGGTGTGGTCCGTCCTCACCCGGAGCTGCCGCTTTCCCGGCTTTCAGGAAGCTGGTCCGCTGGCAGCTGGGCCCCTCGGCCGAGCCCCCCCACCGTCTGGAGGCCCTTCAGTCCCAAGCAGCTGGGAGCAGACCCCTTCCCCAGGGCTCCGGGGCAGGGCGGAGGCCCCAGGGCTTTCCCCTGGGCGTGGGTCTGGAGGAGAAAGTGCCCGCCCGCCCGCCCGCCTCCCCAGTGGGGCGCAGGCAGGCTCCCCCTCGGGCCTGGTGATCGCCGCCCGGACTTCACCCTGGGCCTCTCGGGAGTGGCTCAGGGAATCTCCTGCAAAGTGCTGCCCTGGCCCCTGAGGGGGGCCCCTGTCCTCGGAGCCTGCGGGCTGGCACCAGCGCCTGCATGTGGCCCCTCTGGCGCTGTTAGGGGATCGTGCTTGACTTTCTCTAATGAAATGTTTTGTTTTTATTTTCCATGCCACGAGGATGAAGTAAGTTTCTCTTTGATGGCTAGCTGACTGAGTTCCAGGCCTCTTGCCGAGTGCAGTGGGCCAGCCGCGTGGCTGTGACGGCGGCCCCAGCCTGGTTCTGGCAGCGAGCGCTGCCCCCGGCGCTGGGAGCCCGCGGCCGGCTGCAGCCGGCCCTGCTGTGCCCGGCTGTGGCCAGCTGGCCCTGCTGCCCTCCGGGGGCCTCGGAAGCCACCCGGTTGGAACTGACCAACATTCTCTCTTCCCTGGGGGGCTGAGTTCCCAGGCAGCCTATTTCAGTTGGTCGTCGAGCAGGTGATCGGGATCTGGGCCCACGTTGGCCACCGGCTCTGTGCAGACAAGTCACATTTTCTTCCTCACCTGACCAATTGCCAGCTTAGACTGTTCTGAGATGGCTTCTAGCCTCGAACGTCTGTGGCTGCCCACGAGCAGAGCGTGGGCTCAGTCACGGCGCGTGTGAATTGGCCGTTGGGTGGAGGGCAGGGTGGGCGGGAAGGAGCAGGCATCAGCCAGCCGCGCGCCGTGCTGGGAGACCAAGTCCTAGCGCCTTCCTGCTCCTTCTGCCTCTGGCGATTCCCTGTGCCGCTCCTGTGAGCTGCCCAGGCGCGGGGAAGAGTGCCAGCCTTCGGGGATCCCATGGCGGACTCGCTCAGGTCTCCCCCACCCCAAAGCAGAGGCAGTTTAGGACAGAGACGAAGAGTCTTCGGCACCGCGGGGCGGCTCGGTCTACCTTGACAGGCTTGGGAACTTGGGGAGGCCTCCGGCTGCGCCCAGCAGGCAGAGCCACGTGCCCAGGCTCGGGGCTCCCTGGGGGTCAGAACCCCCTCCGGGTGCTGGGCCACCACCAGCTGGAGCTGGACTTGGTGCCGGCGCCTGGCCCCCTGAGGAGCCGCTGCCTGGCACAGTGAGGATGGGTCAGAGTAGGGGGTGTCAGCCGCCTGGGGTCTAGCGGGGAGAAGGGAGTGCGGAGGCAGCGAGCTAATGGCACTGGCTGTGCCGGGCAGGTTCCTGGCTCACTGGCTGGGGTTTTATGCTGACTGGCCTCAAACCGATGAGCTTCCCGTTTCTCTCCCTCGGTCCCTGGTGCAGGAGTGGTCCGCAGACCTGAATCGAACTCTCAGCCGGCGAGAGAAGAAGAAGGCCGCTGACGGCGTCACCCTGACCAGCATCAACCAGACGGGCGACCAGGCTCTGCAGAGCAAGTCTAGCAGGTGGGCGGGGCTCCTCTGCCGGCGGCAAGGGCCCCCGGGTCTCTGCAGGGGCGTCACACCCCAGTGGGCACCATGGCAGACGCTCTGGAGACCGGTGCTGTGCTGGACACTGGTCTGCGGGTCTTGCCGGGGAGCACCGTCCACCTGGTGCGGGGGCCACGGCAAGATCCAGGGGTGCACATGGCAGTCTTAGCTTCAGAAGTGCTTTAGGCTTCAAGTGAGGGTGGAGCCCATGTGTCCCAGGGGTGCACATGGCGGCGGAGGCCACCGTCGAGCTGGACTTACTTCCCGTGCTGTGTGCTGGCACCGCAGGCAGGCGGGGGGGCAGGGCATGTCCCTTTTGAAGTCAGCTCTTCGCTGAGAGTGCGGGTCAGTTCTGACCTCATTACTGCTAGAACCAAAGTCGGATGAAAGAGGAGGCGCCAAGGTCACGAGAACCTCCTGGAAAGTGCACAAGATGAGTCCTTTCTCCAGACCTGCCCAGGGCCTCAGGCCTCCGGACAGATGGGCGTCACCGCTGCCCCATGGGGTGACTGTTCACCTCACAAAGAGCTGCCTTGCTGGGGGGCTCAGCTCTGGTTCTGGAGGCCTGTCTCTAGCCCTCCCTGGGTGCCCTGGGCAGAGATGACCCTCACTCAGCTGCTGGGCAGGCAGCTTGATAAGGACTAGCGCTGGGTAAATGCTGTTCCCCGGGTCAGGCCAGGTGTGACGGGGTGGGCGTGGCAAGGGTGACCCCATTCCAGACCCCATCCAGGGCGTGGGGAGGGTGGCCCCAGCTGCTGTGCGAATTCAGCTGCTGGCCTCAGCTCCCCAGGGTCCGCTGGAAGAAGCACCAGGGTGGGAGGGTTGGTCAGGGTGCCATAGAGGGGTGTCAGAAGCCTGGCGGAGGAGTGTCCAGTGACCCCGCCAGGCCTAAAACTGACGAGGCAGTTCCTGGCCACTCAGGGTCACTCGTCTGGTCCGAGGCATTTCCACCTTTCCCCCCCCGCCCCCTCGGCAGTGCCCTCTGAGCATCCGTCCGCGTGGCCAGCAGGGAGGCAGAGGTGGCACCGGCCACTCCCTGACTTAGGGCCATCACTGTGCGTCCACCGGGCGTGGGCTCCCAGGCCACTCACCTCCGTCCGTCACACTGCCTCAGGCTCCCACAGCCACTGCGTCCTCCTGGGCCTGCTGGTGTCCGCAGGCTGGGCATGGGTCAGGCGTCGCTCCGGTGCCCCTGGGCCGGCACACGGCAGGCGTTGATGTGGCTGTGCAGACGGCTTCTGTCTCTGGAGCACAGAAACGGTCTTTTTCCTTCCCAGAAAGTGCAGCTCAGCAGGCTTGGGTGCCACCTTGGGGCGTCCTCTGGGTAGCCAGAGGACGGGGTGCACTGAGGCCCACTCCTGCTCATCAGCCGGCCTCCGAGCCTCCCCGGCAACCAGCTCCCCGCGGTGGGAACAGGGTGGGGGCGCCACAGAAGAGCCCGTGTGCCCCCCAGCAGCCCGGCCCCACCCCCAGCCCTGTCACGAGGAGGGAATTGGGGTTTTCTTCTGGGCACGTTACGGGGGTCAGCGGCCCTGTGTTCTGCTGGCGCAAGCTGTCTGCTCAGATGATGCCCCCGTCCTGCAGGGATGGACCCTCAGAGCCTGGCCCCGGGCCCCTCTAGTGGGAGCCCCCAGGCCCCCCGTGGCCAGCGAGCTGGGGTCCCCTGAAAGCTCTCTCTCTCCCTGTAGTGACCTTAGCATCCCGAGCAACCCCGCACGGTCAGCACAGTCGCTGTCCAGCTACAACCCCTTCGAGGACGAGGACGACACAGGGAGCACCGTCAGCGAGAAGGAGGAGATTAAGGCCAAAAAGTGGGTGAACACACGTTACCCTCTGGCTCCTGCCTCGCGCGCTCTCTCTCTCTCGGTCAGGGTCTCGCCTCTCAGCGCTCAAAGCAATGCGTGAGGCCCGCAGGTGGGGCCCGGCGGCCAGCCGTTGGACAGTCTGGCTTCTCTTTCCGGCGGGGAGGGCCCCAGTTAGGAACCTGTGGCTGCTTGTCTTCTGTCCTCTGTCAGCCTCGTCCGGGCCTGCACCACCTCTGCAGCTCCGCTTGCAGGCGCCGGGCTGGGCCGAGACTGCACCCTGGGGGCGGCGCCCCAGCCCTGCGGCCCCTGCGGCTTCCCCTGGTGAGGGCCGGGTCCTCAGAGCCCCGTCGCCCCTCTCTTGCAGCGTGAGCAGCCAGGAGAAGACCCAGAGCTTTGCCCCCGACTGGTCGGACGAGGAGTCCAACAACCCATTCTCCTCCGCGGACGCCAATGGGGACTCCAACCCCTTTGAGGAGGACACCACCTCGGGGACCGAAGTGCGGGTGCGGGCCCTTTACGACTATGAAGGGCAGGAGCACGACGAGCTGAGCTTCAAGGCCGGTAGGTGGGCCCTTGGCATGCCAGGGCGGAGGCTTCCAGGCTGCTGCGAGGCCTCTTTTCAGTCCGGTGTTGCCCCTGTGGGGGTCTCCCTGAATTCCAAAGCAGCAGGAGCTCAACGCCAAAGTGCAGCGGTGCCCTGTGCCTTAGGCCAGGTGCCGCCCCTGCAGGGCTGAGGCCTGGGCACAGCAGGCACTGGGCAGCAGCTGCTGACCTCCAGCACCGCCGGCTCCCTCAGTGCTGTGGGATCAGCACCCCCAGACCAGTCCTGCCCCAGCTGGCAAGGCAGCCCAGGGCAGAGCCCCGTGAGCCCCGGGCCCCACGCAGTCCTGCCCCAGCCGCGTCCCCAGCTCTCTCCCTGCCGCGTGCTGTGTGGCACCCGCCATAAACGCCGTGCGGCCAGGCTGGAATCCACGTTTTCTAGAACAGTCTGTGTCCTGACTATGTGAGCTGCTTTGTGCCGAGATTTTCTATCCCTTTTTTCTTTTCTTTTTTGACCTGGTGGCAATTCACCAAAGTGGGTGCAACCCTCAGTTTGAAAAGCAGTCTCAGAACTCAGGAGACTTGTGTGGCGGCTTCCTTCCTTGGCACTGCCCTCCCCGAAGCCCCTAGCACCTGCCTGGGGGCTGCCCGGCCCTGCCCGGGCACAGCTGCTGGCACTGGAACCTCCCGTGGTGCAGTGAGTGTGCTTTATCTGTGTTTCGAGGTGAAGGAAGTCACAGCTTAGGCTACACCTGTGAGAAAACCCCCACTTGACCTCCATCACCTGCTCTCTGGCTTTTGGAGGTGGCAGGATGCAGTGTCCTTCAGCCTCCTCCGCTCCGCACTCGACAGGCCAACCGGCTGTCCCCTGACCCTGGACCCAGGGGCCATCACAGGGGCCTCGCCCCTGGGGCGGGCGGCTGAGGGCGCAGAGCAGGGCCCCGCAGGAACCGCAAAGCTGCAGACTGGACCCAGACAGACAGGCTGTGCCCGGTGGACCCCGCCTGCAGCTCCCTGCTCCCAAGAAGGTCTGAGCTGGGGGCCAAGGTCACTCCCCACGTGGCCGTGGTGCCCAGAGTCCACCCCAAGAGGTGTCCCCACAAGACCCCAGGTCCACCGCTGGAGGAACTGGGGCTCGGGCTGTCCCTCTCTTCCTCTCACCTCCCCTGCCACCCGGTTCCTTCACATCTAAACACGAGCCAAGGCACCCTACCAGTGAGCCATGGGGCTCCTGGGCCTGGCGACGGCCTCCACCTCAGAATGCGGGAGGGGTCGGTTTAAGTCGGAGGACAGATGCCCCGGGCAGGCGCAGGGGCGGGCATGCCGGGTCCCACCCCACCTGCACTCTGGACGCAGGTGCTCGGGGAGGGGAGGAAGGACGGTGCAGGGCGAGGGCGGCTCCTGAGAAGGTCCCGGCCTGGGAAGGCCCGGGGGCGCGGGCCGCAGGCTGAATTCTGCTGTGTCTGGCAGCTGCTGTGGCCTCTGGGGGCCACCGGCTCTGGTCAGCGTGAGGGTAAGTGGCTTTCCGCCTCGCGGAGGCCACGGCTTAAAAACAGCATAAAGCGCAATCTAGGGAGCGATGTCCAGGCCTCGGCCCCGGGAGCGGGCCGGCCTCCCACTCAAGGGAGAGATGCGGGGCGGGCCGGGGCCGGGCTCGGGAGGGAGGTGGCGCTCTGACTCCTGGGGCCAGGCTGCCCCTGTCCGCTCGCCAACGCCGCCGCCTTTTGTCTTGCAGGGGACCAGCTGACCAAGATCGAGGACGAGGATGAGCAGGGCTGGTGCAAAGGACGCTTGGACAACGGGCAGGTTGGCCTGTACCCAGCGAACTACGTGGAGGCCATCCAGTGATGGCCCGGCTGGCTGCGGCGGGGCGGAGGCCGCGGCCCAGGCACTGCCCCGTTGACCGCCGCCCGGGCAGCACCACCTCCAGTGCCCCGCGCTACTTTTCCTGCAAAAGATGTTGGTTCCCGGCTCTTGGCTCCATGGTGTCTCTTGAAGGCAGCGAGCGGGTCTTTCCACCCGGGACTCGGCACCCCGACCACGCGCAGATGGAGCCGGAGCGCAGCCGCGGCGCCAGGCCCCCGCCCGCCCGCCCGCCCGCCGCCTGCCCGCCGCGGCTCTGCGAGCTTGGCCTTGACCGCCCCTCCCCCGCCCCGGTCAGTGGTGGGCGCCCCGCTTCTGCTCCACGGATGATTACTCTCTGGCGAATCCCATCCCCCCAGCTTAAATGAACAAAACCTCCATGCCGTGGCCTGAGTGAAGATTTCGAGGTTTTTAATTTAAAGGCTATGTACAGTTCTATTTTTTATACACCTGTTCTTCCATTCATTGCTACTTAAATTATGGCACAGCTGATGTGCCCACCCCAGAGGTGCCTCTGCTCCCCGTGGCACTGCTGGGGGCCCGGGGCGGGGGTGCAGGGGCAGTGCCGCGACATGAGGCGGCTCCCGCTGGGAATGCGCCCCGACATGCTGGGGCCCGTGACTTTCAGAAACGACCTTACGTTGTGCTGCCCAGAGTTGCCATATTTAAAAACTATTTTCACTGAATTTGTGCTTAGAACTTTACTCTTGCAAATTAACAGTTTTATCAGTGATTTTAAAGGTTGAAAAGTGAGACCAACCCTTCCAGGGAATGCCTGTGGCCGCCGCCCTGCCGGGCCGCCCGGCGTCTGTCTGCTCGTGCCACCGGATCCCGGGGAACCCAGAGCGCTGTCTCCTGTGCCGGGGAGAGGCCCTGGCTCTCGGCGCGTGTTTACTTGGGACCTGCAGACTGTGGCCTCGGGGCGCAAGCCTGGCTGGCGGACGGACCCCCCGGCTCGGGACGCGGGCCTGGCCTCCGAAGCGGGGACGTCTGTCCCCACGGCCGCCGGGGTCAGCGCCTGCCCGGCCGGCCTCCCGGAGCGGTGCACTGTGGGCGCCCCGCCCCCCACGGCCCCCGTTCCTCGAGAGCAGGAGCCGGGCCTCCCCCAGCCAGGGGTCTCTCCTGAGCAGCCTTCGTCCCCCGGGGGCGGGCGCGGCTGTGGGAAGCGACCCGGGAAGGCGGCGGGCAGGGAGGGAGGGAGGGACCGCCTGATCCGTGCCACGGCGCTGCCACCACCGACCCCGGCGGCGCACGGCCTGGGTTTCCGGTGAGCTCCGTGTCGTGCCTGGAAGTGGCTGTTTGTGTCACGAACACTGACCAGCAGAAAGCTCGTTCCTTTGCTGCAGATTTACCAAAAATTGTCTTCTCAGTTCACGCGTTTCTTTCACTGTGGAGTATTTTAGAAGAAATCAATAAACAGTTGATCTCGCCAGTGTGACGTCTGTGCGCGCGCGGCCCCCGCGGGCAGCGCCGGCGGCCTGCAGAGCCTGGCAAGTGCCGGACACGACTGCTGCCCACGGGGCATGCCCCTGCCCCCCTGCCCTGCCCGCCCGAGCTGGGGCGCTTGGGGGCCGAGTCCCGGGGATCCTGCTCCCCCGACCGGGCAGCAGGCTGGCGCTTCCTCCCTCCCTGAGGCCCAAACGGCAGGACCAGACCGGCGGCCACTCATCACCAGGCTTCCGGCTCCCGCTTGGTGGACGCCACTTCTGCCCAGGGAAACTGGGCCCGAGGGGCAGGTGCCGGTTCCAACGTGCGCCCTGGGCTCTGCCCTTCACTTACACCGTGGGGAGCGTGCCAGTCCCAGGCGCCCGGGGTGGGGGGGTCCCCGTTCCCATTACAGAGGGCCCGGGGTACTGAGTAAAGTCCTGTGGCATCCTCCACCCTCAAGGGGGTGACAAAGGCAGATGTGTGGGAGGGAGAGACCAGAGGTGTGAGCACCCCTGGGGCTGCCCAACAAAGCACTGCGGGGCAGCAAGGCAGGCAGTGCCCCTGTGGCATCACTCTGCCTGACTAGGGGGGCCTCTGCCTGACTGGGGGGGCCGAGGGCTAACCTTTGTCATCTGGCCATCAGGCCCTGCCCCCCACCTCTGAGGAGGAGCCACCTGCTGCCTGGGGGGAGGGGGCGCCAGCTTCTGCCTCACCAGCCCCAGGCTGCCTGAAGAAATGAGGGAGGGCGCAGGGAGGGCTGGGCAGGCAGGGGGTGCTCATGCACGCTCACCCCAGCCCAAGGGGGAGCTGGGCCCTGCACTCCACAGAAGAGGGAGCAGAAGTGTGGAGACAGATGCCCAAGGTCCGAGACAGACCGTGACTCACTTGCGTCTGAGGGGGCTGGAGGGCAAGCGCCCCCCCCCTTCCCCTGCTTCACCGGCAGGTAAGAGCAGGGGGCAAGCGAGAGCCACTCTGAAAAGTCAGGGTGAAACAACTTCTCTCAACTTCCTGTCATCTTCACAGCTCCGAGGACTCCTCTGGGCCTCAGTTTCCCCAGGCAAGAGTGGCTGGAGGGCTAGAGTTGGGGTGAGAGGCCACAGACACCCAGGAGGTGACACTGATTCAGCCGGAAGCCTGGGGATTCCGACTCACGGCCTAGCCTGGCCCCCACACAGGACCCTCGCCGCCGCAGCTGACCTGCCCGCCCTCCGCACCGGACCCCCAAGGCACCGACCTCCTCCCCCTGGACCACTGCTGGCTCCACCCCACCCTCAAGTCCCCAGTGTCCTTGGCAGCCTGCCCAGGACCTCCCCACAGCAGATGGGGGAAGGGGGTACTGTCACCCCTCTCCCGGTCTCCCTGGTAGTGCAAGTTCTGGCCGAGTGACCCCGGATTCTGGCTCTGCTCCAGCTAAGCTGGGTCTCCTGAGGTCCCTGCAGAGGGGCGACAGGGCTGGCCTCTGTCCTTACCCACCTAAACGCATACCAGGCCTCTCCCCATGCCAGTCCAGCATGGGTTCACTAGGGGACCAGGGCAGTGCCAGGTCTCAGGAACTGGGGGTCAGTCTGGGGGCGGTGGGCTCACCATCAGCCAGGAAGGATGGACAGGCTCGAGAAGGGCCCTGGGGGCCTCCTGACCGACCCCAGTCCTGTTCGGGGAGAAAGTGAGGCAAGGGGGGGGCCGGGCGAGGCAGCGGGCAGCGGGCTCCCTGTCTGTGCGGGCCTGGGCGGTGTGGGTTGGTTTAGCGGCTGTTTCTCGAGCTCCGCCTACGCGCCAGGCGTGGTGGTGCCAGAGCGTGAAGAAGGCCTAGGTTTGCCTCCCCCAGGGCTCTGGAGCCAGGGAGGGGCGGGCGCTGACACCAGGGCGGCAGCAGCCAGGCGGCGCGGGCAGGACTGGCGGCTCCGAGGTGGCCGCGGGGCCCAGGAGCTCAAACCACCACGAGCACCAGGGCCCTCGAGCCGCGCTCCCACCTCCAGAGGGGCGGGGCTTGGCCAGGGCGGTGGTCAGGAGGACCCGTGACCCCTTTCCTGAGTGGGGGTGACCGCAGGGATGCCCCCCGGGGGCCGGCCAGGGGGCGCCCCGCCCTGCGCGTCCCTGCCAGCCCCCCCCGCCCCCCGCCGGCCCCGTGCCCGGGTGATGGCCGCGCCCTCCCCGCTCCCGCCAGCCCTGCCCTCGGCCCCCGCCGAGGGGGGAGGTCTGCGCCCCCGGCCCCGACCCAGGCCCCGCTGCCCGCGGCTGGGCGGGCCGCGGCCTCCCGGAGGGGCTCCCGGTCGCCGGTGGGGGGGGCCGTGCCCAGGCCCGCGGGGGGCGGCGCCCCCTGGCGGACAGGAGCGGGGTGGGCTCGCGGAGCCCCTGCCCGGCAGGACAGGCCGGGCCGAACCGGGCCGGGCCTCCGGCCGCGGCGGGCGGTTCACGCCCCCAGGCCCGCCACGGCCAGGCGCGGAGCCCGGGCGGGGCGGGCACGCGGGGCGCGGGCGGCTGCCCCCGGCCGTCCCCAGCCAGCCGGGCTTCCCGCCCCGCCGCGGCCTCGCCGTCCGCGCGCGGGCGCCCCTCAGGCGGGGGCGGGGGGCGGGGGGCCGGGGGCCGAGCCGGGTCGCACAGCCGGGCCGGGCGGGGCGCGCGGGGGCTGCCCGTCCTCACGCGGCCCCGGCTGCGCCCCCGGGACGGGCCGCGGCTCTGGCGGCGCCCGCGGGGCAGGCGGCCCCGGCTCCCCGGACGGTGCGGCGTGGCCCCGGCCCGTCGCGGGGCGCTCAGGGAGGCGCCGGGGGGCCCCGGCCTGGACGCGGGGCCCTCCCGGCCGAGGCCCTCTTCAGCCGCGGGCCGCGGAGGAGGCTGGGCCGGGGCGCGGGGCGCGCGGCGCGGAGCCGAGACCACGGCGGCCCCGGCGGCCGCGCGGGGCTCCCCGGCTTCGCCGCGCCCCGCCCGGAGGAAACCCGCGAGGCCCGCGCGGCCCCTGCGCACGCGCGCGCGGCGCGGGGCGGGGCCTCGGTGGGCGGGGCCAGCGGGGCGGGGCCGGGCGGGGCGGGGCGACCCCCGAGGCCCCGCCCCCGCCGTCGCCGTCTCCCGGAGGCGGCAACCGACCGGCTCGGCCTCCGGCGCGGGCGCGCGACCATGGGCGACCCCGGCAGGCAGGACATCCTGGCCGTCTTCAGGCGCCTCCGCTCGGTGCCCACCAACAAGGTAGCGCCGGCGCGGGAGGCGGCGGCCCGGCCCGGCCCGGGCGGCCCCGCGGCGCGGCGGGCGCGGCGGGAGGAGGAGCCGCCGCCAGTGACACGTCGCACTCGGGCGGGCGGGCGGCCTCGCCGGGTCGCGGCCCCCCCGGCACCCCGGGCCCCCCGGGCCCCCGGCACCCCTGGCCCCCCGCACCCCGGGCGCCCCCGCACCCCCGGCCCCCGGTGCCCCGGCCCCCCGGCCCCCCAATGCCCCCCGCCCCCCCCGCGTCGCCAGGCAGGGGCGGGGCAGGAGGCGCCCCGCTCCTCTGGGGTCCCTGGGGGCAGGGGTGGCACTGGGGTTCCTGACACCCGCCGGGAGGCTTTGGGAGGCGACTGGACTGGGGCAGCCGGGGCCTCTGAGAAGGAGCTGGGCGCACACCCAGCCCCGGGCGCGGGCGGGCACCCAGGCCACCTGTGACCCAGCCTGGCCTCCTGCGCCCCGAAACCCCAGCTGGCAGCGCGGGCCGCTTGGGCAAGTGGGACTCGCCCCTCCCCATCCTCCAGCGGCCTCTAAAGTTCCTGGGGGCGCCGCTGGGGCCCGCGGGGTGGCCTGTCCCCGCCGGCGGCCTCAGTTAAGTTGCCCCGACAGAACTGCCGAGGGGGCGGCTGGCTCCCGGCTCCTTTCTCTTGCTGAGAAAACCCGCCGCAGACCCTGGCTCTTCCCTCCCATCACGTCTCTTTGGAGATCGGGGGTTTCCTTCTGCTCCTCCAGGGGTGGTTTCCCGCCCACCCAGGGCTTTTACAACTTCCCGGCTGGCCGGAGACGTTGTGATGACACATCTGGCTACATCACAGCCAGGGATGCCCTCGGCCGAGGATCGCAGGTCAAGCGGAGCCTGGCGAGTGCAAAGGGCTGCCCTGTCGGCTTGGACTCTCCCCCCGGCCTGGACTCTCCCCTCGGGGCGTGTGTCTGCTCCCCACTTGGAGCAGCTGTTAATGAGCCCGGGCCTGAGGCTCCAGCGGAAAGTGTAGAAAGTTCCCGGGTTCCCGGACCTGGTAGATGTCTTTGTTTTACGCTGGGGGGGCCCCTGCCGCTGGAGGGGGCCGTGGGCTTCCAGCGTAGGGGAGTGAGAAGGAAACTGTCAGGGCAGGTGGCGTGCGGTGGGCGCGGGAGGGGGGGCAGCAGCGCTTCAGGCCAGTCTCTTTGCTGTTTTCTTGATTTTCCAAGGCAGATTGCTGAGGTGGCTCCTGGTGACTAGACGGCATCAGGATCTGCGCTCAGCAGGCAGAGCTTCGTTATTTATCTGCTTCATCTCACAAATGTAACGTGCGTCCCCCTTGATGGCGTCAGTGCGGAGAAGCCGCCCCGGGAGGCAGAAGTCCGTGCCTTTATATGCAGAGACGCTGCCGAGGAGGGTGTGCGGGCCTGCTTTTGAGTTGTCCAGACGGCCGCTTTCTCCTCTGTCCCGGGGCGGGTTACTCGGCCGCTTCAGGCCTCATTTTTCTCATCTGAAATGGGAACATGAACCGGGCCGAACTCGGGGCTGCTGGGAGGGCCGGGGAGAGCCGCAGCGCCCCGTGTTCTAGCCTGCAGGCCAGGCCAGCGATGTTTCGTTACTGTTCTTTTTGTTATGAGCAGTGCAGGAGCGGGAGGCTGAGGGTCCCGAGAGGCGTGGGCGTGCTGGAAGCATGAGGTGCAGTCTTCGGGTGACGCGCCGCGGGATGCGCCACGTTTCTTGATGGAATCTCTCCGTTTGATCACTAGTGAGAAAAGCCGTTACCCTGACCAAGAGGAAAACCAATTTTAGTGATGTGGGAGAGTTGGGTAACAATAAGCATTTTAAAAGCGGGGCTCCAGGAAGGAACGCTGAGCTACAGCAGGCAGGAAGGGGGCTCCTGTCTGCTTTCGGAATACGGCTTCCAACTTCCTCCTCGCGGGTCCACTGAGGACTTGGTCTGGGACAGAGGCTTTGACGCGTCCCTCGCGTGTGAAGTCCTTCCTTGAAGCTACTCTGTTCCTCAGTTGGCTACTGGTTGCCAGTTATTCGCCCAACAAAGGCCTGTCGAGCTGGGGAGACAGGAGCGCCTGCCCTCCGGGAGCGGGCTGTCGGGGAGGAAGGGCACCGCCTGGCGGTGTGTTTTTTGCTGTGGAGGCCGCGGGGCGGCAAGAGGCATGGGCGTCGGGGCAGCACTGAGAATCTGCGGGTGCCACAGCAGAGGGGCCAGCAGCGAGGTCCTTCCAAGGCGAGGCCTCTGGGGCTGCAGGAGCCACACACAGGCCCAAGAGCTGGCCAGGGCCTCAGTGGCGCCGTCTCACGGTGTGGCAGAGTGGACTGGCCAACAGGTCGTTGCTGTCCTCACCCTCAGGCAGAGCTCTTGTCGGTCAGGAGCTGTTTACTTTCTTCACCATAAGAACAGGCGGGTGACAGGTGGAAGCAAAGGGCAGTTCCGCTCTCACAGGCCCTGGTCTGCGCCAGCGGGAGCCCCTGGCTTGGGTTCCACCTGTGTCTGACTCAGGCCCTGCAGCTCCCAGGCTCACCTCCCACCCCCACAGCACCCCGCGGCCTGTGTTTGCATTTAGTGCCCATTCGGCGCCAGTCTCACGCCTCAGCTCAGGTGAGCAAGAGAGACAGGCCCTGGCCCTGTGGGGCTGCGCTCCAGCCGCTCCTGGGCTTGTCCTGGCTGAGGCTGCGTGTCAGGAGCCAAGCGGCTCTCGGAGCCCCGGCCCCCTCCACGGGACCCCTGACTCGCCAGCTCTGGGCTGTGCACCACCTGTCACCCCCTCTCCAGGGCTGCATGCCGCCTGGGAGGCTCTGCTGAGCCCCACGTGGCTCTGGGCCCCTGTCTAGAAAACGTCTTACATCCCGTCCTTGGCAGCTGGGATCGACCTCAGGACCCGCTGAGCTGCTGAGCTGCCGCCTAGGGGCTCCAAGCAGCCCGCGCTTCTGGGGTCACCTCTGCATCCACATGGCGGGTGCCGGTTCGGGCTTGATGGTGAGAGCACCGCTTGCGGGTAGCCGAGGGCTTACAAGCAGCTGTTCGGCGAGGACAGCACCTGTGGCAGAGGCCACGGTGCCCAGCACATGGCCTGGCAGACCGCAGGAATGATAAACAGCGCGGACGACGGGCGCCTCCACTCGAGCCTGTCGGGAGGCTGTGGGGAGTCCCCGGCGTTCACGCTTGTGTCGCCCTAAAAAGACCAGATGTCAGGGCCTCCCTGGTGGTGCAGGGGGTTAAGTGTCAGCACTATGAAGCTGTCCGCAGCCTCTGCAGCACAAGCGTTCGATCCCGATCCCGGGCCAGCCAGGGAGCAACCCACATGGTGCAGCAGACCTCAACTGGCTCGGCCGCTGCTCCCCCAGCAGTGTATTTTGTCTGCCTGTTCTGTTCCCCGCTGTCTCTGGTGAATCCTCTCACCCCGCCCCCCACCCCTGGCTGACATCCCAGCTCTTGTATGCATAAGTAAATTAAAAATAATAATAATAAAAAGACCAGAAATCAGATCTTTCCTGATGATTATGGGTGGAACAAGCTTCGCCTGAGTGGCTGCCTACAAAGTGGACCTAAAACAGGCCTTTTTTTCTGGAAAAAATTAAAATTAAAGCAGTTCTTTTAGTGGAGCTTTTACTGTGCTGTTGTTGTGACTTTAATTATAAATATTAATTTCTAGGCAACTCTGTGGGCTTTCATTTTTTTTCAAATTTTACTGATTTGCCCCTTGTTCTCATAACGGCACATTCGGGGCTGAGCCCGGCGTGCGCACAGGCCTGGCTTCCCACGGCCCCTGCCCCTGCCCTCCCGCCCCCCCCCCCCAAACCAGGTATTTTTCACATGCTGTAAGGTAAATTTATGTCCTGTTATCAGATGAAGGATGTTTGGCTTTAGTCAGTGTTGCAGGGACCTGTCATCCTCTGTGGGCTGTCGTGAGCTTCCTAAGCTGTTTATTTGATCAACAAATATTTACTGAGTGTTTAATGTGGGTGCTGCCAGGCCCTGCGGGAGAGGGGGCGGCTCCCTGAATGTGGACGTTTACTGAGCATCAAGCCCCGGGGAGGAAGGCCTGGGGGAGGAAGGCCAGGAGGGTGGCTCCTGGGGAGGGAGCTGTGAGGCCCACGCTGGCCGGGCAGGGCGAGGCGGCCGGAGCCAGGAGCAGAGTGCTCTGTGGTTATCTGGGTGACTGAGCGTCTGAAACAACAGACATGGCTCACAGGTTGTGAGGCTCTGGAGCCTGGTGTTGGGGGCAGGAGGGAATAATGGCTTCACGCAATAACACTTTTTTTTCCTGGGGAAAAAAAAAAAAAACATTCTCTTCTGAGTGGAATTGTGCCTCTCCTGTGCTGACGCGAAGGAACCGTGAGCCTTAGGATCCAGGACACGTGCCTGCGTGTCGGGGCAACGTTACCAGAGGAAGCGGGAGGGCCGAGGAGGGAAGGCTGGGGGTCTCTCCGGCTGGGCAGAAGCTGCAGCCCGGCTGCCCCACCCCAGGCCCTCTCAGCCACCCCTTCAGCACGGTCTGGCCTCATGGGGCACTCGGACCCCCAGGGACCAGCGAGGGGCGCGTGAGGATGTGAGGCCGGCGGCGGGGGAGAAGCAGGCCCCAGGACCTGCCGTCGGGCACAGAGCCCCCACCCAGGCCACAGCTGGGCCCCTGTCCCGTCGCGTGGCTGGGAGGGATCCGTCGGGCTCCAGGGAGAAGGGCCCGCTGGGCGGGGTGCCGGGCGCCCGTGCGGCCGGGTTGGGGGCGTGATGGCCCCGTCCTTACCAGGCGGGTGTTGTAGTCCTAGGAGCCCATTAATAATTAGTGGAGCCGATGCAGTCTGCTGGTAGTTGAATGTTATGACACTGCTACGGAGTCCGCAGGGTTCAGGGCTCACGCTGAATACTCACAGCGGTTCCACTCGTGTGATGCGGTGTCACCCAATAAATTGAAATTCCAGCCCTGAAAACAGTCCTGGTGAGGTATTTCCCTTTCCCCTCAACTTTCATTCATTTGCCAGTTATTTACATAACTATATCATTTTGGGGTACAACTTCGCCCCACGCTTCCCTCTCCCTCCTCGGGAGATGTTCGCTGGTGGCCGGTTTGAAAGGGGGAGCGGGTTCCCTCCGGGTCATGGACGCCCCCCGGGCCGCTCATTCCACCCACAGGAACTAATAACTAAAGTAAAAAATTTCTTTCAGGTGTGTTTTGATTGTGGCGCCAAAAACCCCAGCTGGGCGAGCATCACCTACGGGGTGTTCCTGTGCATCGACTGCTCGGGGTCTCACCGGTCCCTCGGGGTTCACTTGAGTTTCATTCGGTAAGTGCACCCCGCTGCGTGCAGTGACCCGGGCCGTGTGGCTCCGCCCCCTTTTGCTTCACGTTAGCCTGGACACCGAGTCAGTGCGAGGTTGGCTGTGGGCCCGGGGCCTTGGCTCTTGTGTGCTGACGTCCACGTCACGGGACGGCCAGGCCTTTCCTGCCGGGTCACTGCGCCTGGGACGCGGCCGCGGGGAGGGGGGCAGAGGTGGCAGACGCGTTCGAGACACTTTCCTCTCCCTTCAAGTCTTCTTGAGTCCCAGCAGCTCGGAACCCTCGCCGTGGTCATTCCCTCCTGCCGGACGGGACTCAGGGGCCGTGGGTTGGCCGCACCCCATTTTCCATGGTTGCCCCATTGGTGGGTATTTGCTTCCCTGACCCTCCTGGGCCTTCTGTGCGCATGAGAGAGAGGGCCTCGCTGGACACACACGACCCGCAGTCTGGGGGTGCGAGTGACCTGATGCGAAGTAAAATAAATGGAGACAATGAAAGAGGGAATGAGAGGATCTGGGGGCGCAGGGTTAGATGCGGGAGTGGGGACATGGGGGCTGAGCTCGCCAACCTTGCCGCGCATCAGGAGGCAGCCCCGGCCCAGCAGCCCCTCGCATCTCTGCCCCCCTAGGCCTCCCCCCAACACTTCACCCATTTCCCTGCCACTTCCTCTTGCAGGGAGGGCCCCGGCCGGACAGGCAGCTCTTTGGAGTGTGCGGTTTTATTTTATTGCATATTCTGTCCCGAGGAATATTGATACAAAGCAGTTACTGCAAAGAGCATTGGTTCGTAGTCGGTCATCATTTATGGCGAGACAGTGTCTACCAGGGCACAAAGGCTACACGCTCGGAATAACAGCATCGCTTTCTTTTTTAACATACTAACTTCGAGAAAAATCTCCTGAGCTCTTTTTTCAGAAATCAGTTTGTGAGGGCGCGACGGGCTGAACATCAGGGCGCGAGGCCCGCGGGGCTGCGGAGTGGAGGGCGCGTCTGTGGCTTGCTGTGGCTTCCGCGCGTCTATGCGTTTCTTGGCTTCCTTTTCCTTCGGTACTGGGCTCAGCATATTTTGAACACACTCCCCTGTCCTGAGCTCTTTTTCAAATGCTGGAGGAGTCAGTTGCCAGGGCAAACAGAGCTTTTTGAATGTGCTCCTGCCCCCAGAGGAATGGGCACCTCCTCTTCCAGGCCCACGAACCCGGTCCCTCCGGCACGGGCTGCTGCCCTTTCTCCTGCCGGTTCTTTGCTCCCTGCCGAGCGCCGCCCTCTGACCGGCCCTCCCTCCCCCACCACGAAAGCACACTGACACGCCGGCCTGAGTCATCCCGGGAAATCGGGTCTTGTGACGTGTCGGCAGCTGAGGGAGGGCTGACCGGAGACCCGCGCGCTTGGCCAGGAGGGAGTCAGATCAGCGCAGCAGCCCAAGCGGATGCTCGGAAACGTCATCAAAAACCAAGCGAAGCCCAGGGCCGGCGGCCTAGGGTCCGGGCAGGGAAAGTCCAGAAGCCCAAGAAAGTCAGGTGCTTCACATTTTGGGGGAGGTAGAGGGTGCTTCTTTCAACACGTCTTTTTTTATTAAAACATTACAAGCACCAGCTCATTGGGGGAAGATGCTGGTACCCCAAAATCTAAAGAAGTGAAAGTCCCTCCTCTAGAACCCCTTTCCCTTCTTATTGTCACCCACCCCCACCCCCTCCCCCCCACCCCCCATCTCCCACACCCCCACCCGGCCCACCCACACCTCCCACCCCCCCCACCCCATCATCCCCACACCCACACCCACCACCACACCCACACGCACACACCCACACACGCCCACACCCACCACACCCACACCCACACACACACACACACACACACACACACACACCCCGCCGGCTCCACCCCGGTTTGGCTCGGGCGGAATGTTTCTCTCAGCGGAGTTCTTTTTATTTTTTAATAGAATCCCACGTTAACAGTTGTCCAAAGGGAGCATTTCCCCAGCGGAAGGGCAATAGCAGGTGAGGGGGACGGAGCTGGCGAGCGGCCTCCAGGGGCCCGTCGGCCGGCCCACCGCGCCTGGGGCAGGGGCCTTCGCTTGCTCCCTGACACCCTGGCCTCCGCCCCAAGTCCCTGTTCAGTCGCTCGTGCGCTGACTCAGGCGAGTGGGCCCAGGTCCCTGCCGCGGCGGGGTCGGAGCGGGCCGAGCTACTGCGCGGGGCCTGGAGCAGCGCCGTGTCCCTCTGCCTGGACGAGCAGGTGAAGCTAAAGGAGGGTGTGACCTTTGCAGTGAACTTGGAAGGTTTTGTGAGCGTTTAGGCCGGGACGCGAGGAGGTGGGCGCTGAGGCTGTCGGGTATAGAGGCGGGGAAAGTGGGAGGTTTAGTGGTTTTTTTTTTTTAAGATTTATTATTTATTTATTTATTTATTTATTTATTTATACATGCACTGGGTACAGTCAGAAGCACGGGAGGGTGAGAGAACTCACCAGAGCCAGAGTGGGGAGCAGAGCAGGCAAGTGGGACCCTCCTCCGGTGGCCGGGGAGCAGCAGGGGATCGAACCAGAGCTGCAGAGGCTGCAGGCAGCTTCGCAACCCAGCACTCAACCGCTGCGCCACTGGGGAGGCCCGGTTTAGTGGTTTTTATGTGCACAGGACAGAGAAGTTGTCCCCAAGGGGACCGTGGTGGGGGGGTCTTCAATGCCTCTGGGAGCTTGCTCTGCGCTCCTGATTGTGTACAGGAGGGGCATTGCCCACCCCAGGGGCCCCACAGGGATTTGGGGGCTGGCAGCCTAGGGGGGGCCGGGGTGAGGAGCGGGGTGCTGCGAGCACTAGTCCTTACTAGCCCGGGGCTGAGGGAGGGGTGACCAGACGACTTCTCTTCAAGCCCCTCTCCCGGCGCCCCAGCTGTGGCCCCACATCCTCGGGGAGTCGCCTCAGTGGGCGCAAGAGGAGACGCTTTTTGTGACGTTGGAGTGGGAAGGCTTCACCCTCCTGACCTGACCCTGCCAGCCAGCATAAACAGACAGCGGCGGCCTGGAGGCCCTTCCCGGGCGTCTGTGGAGCCCGGGCCACCGGGTGCCGCCCGCCGTGCCAAATCTCCATGCCCTGAAACTTCGCCATGTTTGTTCAGTGAACCATCTCCTGTGTTTCTGAAATCTATATAAATGCTCCGCTGCCGAAAAGAATATTGACTGTGGCAGCAGCAATGGAACGAATTCGCACAGTTTTCGGGAGTGTCTGTCCTGTCGGCTGCGGGGATTCGCGGGGCCTGTCTTCTCATTACCTCGCTGGTGACGGGAGCTGCCGTGTTAGAGCCACACCAGCTCTGCCTCTCCTTCCTCCTTCCTCTTTCCTGAGCGCTGGCAGGGCGGACCTTCCACATGCTCGCGCCCACAGCCGTCCCCTGCTGGGGGAAGGCCCGGGGCCAAGTCGAGTGCGTCTTCAGGGTGACCACGTTCAGAGGCCACTGTCACCAGGACTTTCGTTTTGAAATCCCGGCGTTCTGAGGGAGGGTTCCTGTCAGCTCAGCTCACAAGCGATTAGTTTTTTTATCTTCATTTGAGAGAAATATATCTGGAAATGTTTGGCTTTATTTCTCCAAGCTAGTTTAGGACTACGAACGGGTAAGTTTAGGACACACTCGCAGCCCGCCTCTCCAGGCCCCTGTCGTGCACCCGGCCGGGGTTGGGGGAGACGGACGCCCTGTCCTGGGAGCTTGATGCTTGCAGCTGGGGGTGACTGGCTGCTGCGGTGATGGGGACCCCAGTGATGAACCCGGGCTGTGAGAACCTGGGTCGTGTGGTTTGCATCAAGAGCCACGTACGTCTCAGACATCAGCTGTTTAGATTTCGACAAGACTGAAATCAATCAAACTCTAACTACCCCCTCTTCACACATGAGGAAAGTGCAGCACCGAGCGGTTCAGGGATTTGAGGGCTTCTCCGAGGTCCCGCCGCACTCCAGTCTGTCTCTCGGGACCAGCTGTCCGCTGCCACCCACGACCTAGGGCTGAGGTTGCACGGGAACCGGTCGGGGGGCCTGGGGTTCATGAAAAGCGAGCAAGTGAGCAGGATCTTTCAGAGGAAAGGATTTGAGAGCTAGATAAGAATTGAATCATTTCCGTGATCATCATCATTTTTTTTTTTAAGATTTTATTTATTTATACAAGCACTGGGTACAGTCAGAAGCGCAGGAGGGTGAGAGGACTCACCAGAGCGGGAAACAGAACAGGCAGACTGACGAAGTACACTGCTGAGGGGAGCAGCGGGCGGCAGGAGAGGTCTGCGCGCCATGTGGGACCCTCCTCCGGTGGCCGGGGGGCAGCCGGGGATCGAACCGGTGCTGCAGAGGCTGCGGCAGCTTCGCAACTCAACGCTCAACTGCTGCGCCACCGGGGAGGCCCTGATCATCATCTTCTTAAAGGAGATTTTTTTGGTCTTTGGGGAATCTGTTTCTCTGAAGGTGTGATTTAAAGTTCTGCTTTTCATATGTCACCACACAGTGGATTCGCTGTGTGTATATGTGCTAAGATTATATGTTTGTACGATGGGTTTTAAACAGCTATTAGCCTTGAAACCACATCCTAATAATTGCAGAGGTCAGAGGCACCATCCGGCAGAGGACTCAGCACAGGGAAAGGCAGCATCAGAGGGAATTCCTGGTGGCCCTGAAGCCTCTTGTCTTTCCACCATCTTGTCGCTATACCCACCAGCACCCCCTCCTTTCCTCTTGGCGCGAGGCTGGCCGTGGCTGGCGCGGAAGGCTTGGCTTCAGGCTCACGCTGTGGAGCCACTGAAAAGCCCTCGCCCTGGTTGCACCGTCACGTCTTCCTCGCTGTTCACGCGGTGGATTACATTCGGGGCTGCAGCACCTGCCTTGCCCTCGCTCCGACTTGACCTTAGATTTCAGACAAGCAGGGCTGGGCGGGCGGCGGCGGGCAGCGGCGGTTTTCACTGGTGATCACTGGTTGCTGAGTTTTCTTCCTCGCTGTGGGTGGTGATGTGGGGAGGTCCCGTCCGCCTGAGGACAAGACCCTGTGCTTCCTCCCAGCTGCCCTCAGGGCTCAGGCCAGACAGACACTGACCTCAAAAAATCCAAAACCCGAACAGCGCTATTGCGAGCAGAGGCACATCACTGAATTTTAGACCGAGGCGCCGTGAGGATGTGAGGCAGAGTCGGAGTTACTCCGGCAGCCCCTGGAGCTCAGAAGGCCCCATTGTCCCGAGGAGATGGCTGGCGGCCTCGGCGCTGCTGGCCGGGCAGGACGGCACTGGTCAGGGGATCAGGGCCAGGCGTGGGCCGTCGGCTCTCAGGGAGGACGGGTGGGGCCCGGGGCTGCTCCCCCCACTGTCCTGTGTGCTCCAGTCCCAGCACCTGGACACTGTCCTGTGGACACCAACTTGGGTCCTTCAGGATCCTGAGATCTAGGAAACCTGATTCTCGAAAGTTCAGTCTTGGTTCTGGGGAACCAAAGTGCTAACACTCGTGAATGTTCTTTCCTTTTAGATCCACGGAGCTGGATTCTAACTGGTCTTGGTTTCAGCTGCGCTGCATGCAGGTCGGGGGAAATGCTAATGCCGTAAGTTCCCCTGGGACTGGCACCCATTGTGTCACACTCAGTGACTGGCGCCCGTTGTGTCATGCTCAGTGTTGCCTGCAGAGGCCGGGGGGCTCCTCGGGTGACAGGGAGACCCGTGGGCTCCTGAGCTGGGCCACCCACACGACTCGCTCACGCAAGACTCTGTCAGCCCCTGTGAGCAGGGAGCTTGGACTCATGCTGGGGTGTAGTGACACGAGGCAGACGATACCCCACTCTCCCAGGCAGAGGCCAGGAGCGGATAAAGAAGAGGCGCAGGTGCTGATAAGGGACTCGAAGGAAACTTCAACGGGGAGTGACGCTGTCGAGCAAAGGGAGGCTTCTTTATGACAGGATAGTTTTTAATATCTGAGGGCAGCTTAGAATGTTTACAGCTGCTTATATCTGAACGTTAATTTATTAAGTACAAATTAAAAACCTGTTCTCCAAATCTTCTTATTAATCTGTCAAATTTATAATTTCTGTGTAAAGCATTGTAATGGTTCAACTCATTTGTCAGTTTAGAAGAGCAGATTTCCTGAACCCCATTTGTGGACCTAACTAAGGATCCCCAGACAGTTTAAATGTCACTAACAAGTTCAGTGTATCTGATTTCTCAGAACACGAGACGAGCAGCCTTGCAGATCACCCCAAGCACTGATGCTCTCACGGCGAACCCCTTGGGCATGCCGTTGGACGTCACAGTAGAAGAAAATCAGATCTGTGCATCAGATAGAAATCATGCCTGGCATCAATTAAACCTTTGTGATTCAAACAATAAGTCTAAAATAGTAGTTTTCAAAGTTCCAGATTCTCTTAAGTCAGTGTTTCTCAACCCTTACCCATGATTGCACCCTAAGCAGAAAAAATCCCTTAATAATTAAAAAATAAATTAGATTATTTTAAATTTAAATTGGGTTTAATTTTTCAACGGTGAGAGAAATTGAACATGAAGGAATACACCTTTGTTAGGACTAAGCTTTGGGAGCCTCCAGCCATCGCGGTAACTGCGCTCTCCTGCCCTCCCCAGAGCGGTGGCCCCAGTGCTGGCCTCGGCTACCTCAGCTGCTTGTTAGAAATGAGCGCGCAGCCTCCTGAGTCCACAGGCTGGTTCCTAGACTTACTGCTGTGGGTTTGATTTATCAGGCCTATTTCTAAGCCTCCCCAAGGTTGCAGAGTCTCAGAGGTTGGGGACTAATGGGGGCGGGGTGGGGGGTAAGGTCCCCAGTGCAAGCCGCGGGGTCCTTCAGTGCAAGCCACGGAATAGGAGTTACTGGCCTGGAACCACCCACCTTGGTCCAAATGGCAACTGATGGCGCTGCAGGGAGGCCTTAGTGGGGGGAGCCCCACTACCCTCAGGACAGGACCTGACGCCTCTGCACGCTCAATACTGTTGGTCATAATTGCATGGATAAGAGCGTTGCTTCTGACGCGTTTAGAACACCTGCTTTAATCCAGTTCTCAGCTCTGCCATTTGCATCTTTCGTGGATTTCTGAGGTGGTTGGAAGCTGTTTCCTCCGACTGTTTAAACACTGCCACCGCTGTGGTCTCTGAGGGAGGACTCGGTGGAGCGAGGTGAGGGTCAGCAGAGCTCCTTGCCGTGTGTCGAAACCCGTTTAGTGGAATCCAATTTGACATGGATTTCTCACGAATGTGAAGGTCATTCTGAGGGGAGAATGTCCTCAGGCGGCGCCAGGGCGACGGGATGGTTTCCTGAAGGGCCTGTGACTTCCTCCCGTGAGCGGCTCCCGTGCCCAGCGCTCACGGCCTGTGGCGTCACACTGTGAAAGGCGGTCCCTTTCCGCGTTTGAGTTGCTTTGGTTTTCAGGAGGATTTAAAAGTCCCCTGTGACATGACGTTGCATTGTCGCCCGTCCCGTGAGACAGAATGCAGAACTGGGGGCGCGCTGGCGCGGTGGCTGGTAACCCATGTCCTCCCCTGCAGGCCTCCTTCTTCCATCAACATGGCTGTGCCACCAGTGACACGAATGCCAAGTACAACAGCCGGGCTGCCCAGCTCTACAGGGAGAAGGTCAAGTCCCTCGCCACCCAGGCCACACGGAAGCATGGCACCGACGTAAGTTCCCTTCGCACGGCGCATTTCAGTAGAAAAGGTACTTTTCATTCCAAACAGCAGAGCTTCTAGCTGGGTCCTCTGAGGGAGACATGTACAGGGGGTGCTCACTGGTCACAGGGATCGCGTTTTGTGGTGCCGCCGTGAGTGCGGAGCTGGGAGCTGGGGGTCAGCGGGTGCCGGAGCAGCAGGAGCCACTCAGGGCCCCTTGGGAGCAGGGGCTCACGTCACGCTTTAGTCAGCGGATGAATGTATAACCCGTGTCGCGCGTGTCTGTTTAAAGACACTTAGTGTGCAGTGTTACTCACCTGAGCCCAGCGCCAGTGCCGAACGCGCGGATGCAGTCTATCTGGCGCTGTGATTCCCGGGAAGAGCCTGGCTCAGCCTTGTGCTCGGGCTGTGAACCCCGAAACCATCCACAGAAACATGAAAAATGTGTCAGGGAGAGGACATTTGTCATAGTACGAGCTGAAACGAGGATGCAGGCCGAGCCTGGTCAGCCTCCAGGGGCCCGGGGATGGCAGTGCGTGGATTGCAGCGGGCAGGCGGATCCGCGCTCTGGAACCCCGGGCACCAACGGCAGCTGTGCTCTGAGCCTGCACATAGATGTGAGGCCAGTGATGCCCCCTTTTGGGGACTGCTCTGTGGGGCTGGGTGTATGGGCTGCTTCCTTACTGAAGTGTGCTCAGCCCCGCGTCAGGTCGGCGTGTCCCCGCCCACAGTGGTGGAAAGTGCCCGAAAGGGAGGGAAAAGGTGAACGGAGCCCCTCGCCCAGCTGGGGTGCTAAGCCTGCTTGTCTCCATTCCAGCTGTGGCTCGACAGCTGTGTAGTTCCGGCTTTGTCACCTGCACCCAAGGAAGAAGATTTCTTTGCATCTCATGCTTCTCTTGAGGTATGTCTTAGGCTGGATGTGATTTTGAGGTATGATCACTTAAGTAAGAAATTAATTTCCCACCTGCAGTGGGTTTCTAAATGCCGTTCTGCAGGGTTTCCATGCTACGGAACCATGAAGATATAAGACCCTTGTCTTTTATAAGGGGAAAATGCATGAAGGCAGGTCTGAAGTTGTCAGGAACCAGCCGGAAAGGGCTCTCAAAGGTCAAAGCTGGTTTGAACAACAAAACAAATAATGGCAGTATTATCCTCCAAAGAATAAAATAAATATCCTGAGTCCAACCTGCTGTGAGTAGACGGTTATGTCCATAAATCAGAGAAGGGGCAGGTCTTCCCTGTGGAGGAAGCCCCAGACCCGGCTGCAGACTCGCTCGCCCGCCCGAGCAGGCAGACTCCTGTCCCGCCTCCCAGACTCCAGATTGGAAAGGGAGCAACAGTAACTTCCCAGAGGAAGAGGCGGGCAGGCACCACCGCCACCCCACAGTCAAGGCTAGCACCCTTGGCCTTCGGTCCCGCTGGCCACACACACGGGAGGGCAGCTCCCCTCTGTGCTGCCCTCCCCACACCAAGTCTAGTCATGAGGAGTCAACGGACAAGCCCGCACTGAGGGGCAATTGGTCTGTGCCCTCCGCAGAGTCAGGAGCTGTCACAAGCCAGGGGTCAGGGAGCTGGGACAGTGCCGGGGGCCCAGGTGGGGTCCAGCACCGGGAAAGACATGGTGGTGGAACCAGGTGGGAGATGCAGCTAAAGTCTGGACCTCAGCTTGTGGTGTCGTACCAAGGACGATTCTCAGTTTTCAAAGAAGTTTCATGTCATGGGGACTTTAAGCTATCTTATTTTTAAGACTTATTTTATTTATTTATGCATGCAAGAGATGGGGTGTAGGCCAGAGGTACAGGTACAGGTGTGAGAGGTACAGGTGTGAGAGGATTCACCAGAGACAGAGTGGGGAACAGAACAGGCAGACTGACTGAAATGCACTGCTGAGGGGAGCAGCGGGCGAGACAGGAGAGGTCTGCTGCGCCCTGTGCGTTGCTCCGCAGCCGGCAGGAATCAAACCGGCACTGCAGAGCCTGAGGACAGCTTCACAGCGCTGCGCTCAACTGCCTGCGCCACCAGGGAGGCCCTTAAGCTATTTAGAGGAAGCTGGGGAACATGTACATGGAAACCCTCTGGACTGTCTTTGCAATTTTTGTGAAACTCTGAAGTTATTGTGAAAAGATCTTTTATAAAGGAGGAAAGACTAAGAAATATGGTCATACAGTGAAAGACTTAAGAATAGACGTGTTTTGGGCCTCCCTGGCTACACAGGGGGTTAAGCACCGCCCTTTGAAGCAATCCGCAGCCTCTGCAGCATGAGTTCCATCCCCGGCCAGGGAGCAACCCACATGGCGAGGCAGACCTCTCCTGTCTCCCCGCTGCCCCCCTCAGCGCTGTATTTCAGTCAGTCTGCCTGTTCTGTTCCCCACTCTGTCTCTGGTGGATCCGCTCACCCCCTGCACCTCTGGCCTGTGCCCTAGCTCTTGTGTGCATAAATAAATAAATCTTTTTTAAAAAAAAAAAGGAATAGAGGTGTTTTCACATTATCCTCCTTCCCACTAATCCAGGTACACTGAAGGTGACGAATAGGTTTTTCCCTGCTTTGTTTTGTTTCTTACGACTTTTCTGCCCTTGCTTCAGGGGAGCGGTGCAGGCTGGGATGTGGCACAAGCAGAGATGCCATCTCTTATGCCGAGGGCCGTGGAGGCTGCCCCAGCCCACAGCGAAGGTAGGAGAGCTGTCTCGCACCTGCCGCGCCGCAGCCCCACGACGAGTGTGCTTCGCGGGAAGGCGCCGTGAGGGGTGTAGAGTGGGGGTTACTGGACGTGGAGTGGACTATAATCGCCTTTGGTAAAGAGCAGAACCAAAACATGTAGACACAGATAGCCTTCCGGACGGGGCACGCTGGTTGGATGAGTGTGTGTTACTTTCATAATCAAAAAGCAAGATTTCAATTTTTAAAAGCTATTCTGTAAATAACTGATACCTAACGGGTCACCATTGGTGACGGTGCTGCCGGATTACACTTCCTTAGGAACACCCTTCCGTCCGCTGCTTACATTTCAGACATCACTTCTGAGATCTGAGTGACGTGCATGAGCACAGCAGCTCTTTCTGTCTTAAAATGGGGCACTTTTTAGAGCAGAGTGTTGTTAGCAACAAAAAAGTAATGTTTGATAACTGGGAATGAACTTCACGGGTCAGGTTCCTTAAGAAATGCCTGCTTTTGGGGCCTCCCGGTGGCGCAGAGGCTTGAGCGCTGTGCTGTGAAGCTGTCTGCAGCCTCTGCAGGGAGGGTTCGATTCCCGGCCAGCCAGGGAGAAACCCACCTGGCACAGCAGACCCCTCCTGACTCGCCTGCTTCTCCCCTCAGCAGTGCATTTCAGTCAGTCTGCCTGCTCTGCTCCCCGCTCTGTCTCTGGGGAATCCTCTCACCCCCCGCCCCACATACACCTCTGGCCTGTACCCCAGCTCTTGTATGCATAAATAAATAAATCTTAAAAAAAGAGAAAGAAAGGAAAGAATCCTGGCAGAGACAGGCAGCAGTGGAGCCGGGGCGTGTGGTAAGGAAAAGAAGGCACTGGTCTGCACAGGGCGACGGGTGTGAGGGTGGGAGTGTCTGAGGGCCCATCCCACGATGAGGTTCTGGTGCCTGTCCCTGGTTTTGCTGTTCCGGGAGGAGGGAGTGGACATGTCAGGACAGGAACATTTGCATCTGGGAGAACAATGAGTGGAGTTAGGAGAAGTGTCTGATGTTTGGACAAAACAATAAAACTGAGCAGAATCAGAAATTTAAGTATTATACACGGAAATGTAAGTAGCCTCCTGCTTTGCCTATTTAAATGCTTTCACTGGAGTTTACCTTCTAAAGGCTCACAGAAGTAAAGCAGTCGAGTTACCTCTAAATCACTGTGGGGATGGCCCTTTTTGATAATATCTTCATGGATTTATCATATTATCTTCATGGATGTTATTGCATGTTATATAACATGCATGTTATGTTATTTTCATGGATGTTGTCACACACCAAGGAATTCACGCTCTCAGCGCACCCCACACCTGCCCCCGCCTGCTCATTAGCAGTCTCTCGCCGCCCCCCTACCCCTGCTCCCAGCTCCCAGCAACCACTCACTAGTCTGCTTCTTCCTCCAAGATTTGCCTCTGTGGCCATTTCTTGGGTATGAAGTCATGTCACATGTGGTCTTTCTGGCCAGCTTTTGTGATGAGCACAGTCTTTGAAGGTCCGTCCACGTCGCACTGGTCAGTGCTTCCCACCTCGGTGGCCCAGGGACAGTACAGTGCACGCATGGGCTGTGTTTTGTTTTTCCATTTTAAGTAATACATAAAACAAACACTGCAGAATAACCAGGATCATTTTTTTTTCTAAAGATTTATGTATGCATACAAGAGCTGGGGTGCAGGCCAGAGATGCGGGGGGGTGAGATGTTTCAGCAGAGACAGAGCAGGGAGCAGAACAGGCAGACAGACTGAAATCCACTGCTGAGGGGAGCAGCAGGTGAGTCAGGAGAGGTCTGCTGCTCCATGTGGGTTGCTCCCTGGCCAGCTGGGGATAGAACTCGTGCTGCAAAGGCTGCAGATTGCTTCATAGTGCTGTGCTTAACCCCTGGTGCCACCAGGGAGGCCCCTAACCAGGATCATTTTAAAAGTCAACTAGAAAACAGGGAAGATTTCTTGGCAACTGAAAAGTTAGAATTCTGGCACTGGTAGAGTCGTGTCAGAGTTTCCAAAGGTTAATACATGTGGGCAGTCACCCACACGCTCGCCAGGTACCTCAGACCAGCTCCCTGTAAAAGGCCAGGTCATGTGGTAGAATTCCAAGGGATTTTTTATTGGGAGACAACTAACACTTTCATGCTATAAAGCAACTAAACAGAAAATACGCTGTTTTAATGGACCGTTAAGTAAGAAACACTGAGAGGGATGAAGTAGCACATGAAGCTGAAAAGAAAGACAGACCAGGTGGCACGGGTAAGGTGTGTGCTGAGAAGCCGAAGGTGTTGCATGTTCAGAAGCAAACCTGGGCAGTACTTTTCCTCATTAACGTCATTATTTTTAACTCGCAGATGCACCGGAACAAGGACCAAGCGTGGAAGGTCTTAACATGCCCACGAAGGCTCCATTAGGTAAAACTTTAAAGCTGCCTTCTCATTTAGAAGGGGCGATGTGTTTGGCGAAAGTGAGCCTTGTGCCTGCATCTGGCTAAACTTGACGTGGCAGTGGTGTGTCGTCACGACTGCTCCTCCCATCGTGGGATGTGGCTAACCACGGACGGGCTTCTGTTTAGCCGACCTGATGACCGCGAGGCTCGGGGCCCATGTGCAGGCCGCGGTGGCTGCGCTGACGCCAGCTGATGTCGGGCCACTTTGTCTGCAGACAGGCAGAGGGGCCGGGCACCCGCCCCACCCCCGATGACTCGAGGGCCCTAAGCATTGTCTCCTCTGTGGTTTCATGCCCTGCGAACTGCACCTTTAAGGTCTCACTGTCAGGGAAGTCGAGTCTGAAGTCCGTGCGTTACACTGCCCTAGACAGAGCCTCTGGAAGGCCCTGGCTCTGGTCATCCTGGCCCCCAGGCCGGACGAGGCGGGAGCAGGCCCTGAGACGTCCCCCGCTCGCATCCGGGAAAGTGGTGGGAAGAACAACGTCCTTGGCCCGTTTCCAGCCCAGAGGGGTCAGAGCTGAGGACCTTCTTCCTTGGCTGTTTGTGCTTCTAGTACATTCTCACCCTTGAAGAGAAATCATTTGTTCTTGCTGGGTCTCTTACACACAATCCTAAAAGCATCCTAGATAGTCCACGAGGGACACTCACCCAGGAGGAATGAGCTGCTACTTCTCTAAACGCGTCTGCGTTGAGCAAGTCCTGCTGCTGGGGCGGCGGGAACCTTCCCCTCGCGCTGGCTAGTGGGGTGATGCCGGGCGTGTGTCGGGAGGAGCACGTCGATGGCTGCTCGGTTGTGTGCGCAGAGCTGGACAAATTCACACTTTCAAGTAATTTTGAAAGCGTGCGGCGTCGAGGCTCACAGGAAGGCTGTCCTGACGCCACGCGGGCGGGTCCCGAAGAAGCGGTGGCGGCTCGCTGGGCTCGTCGTTGCTCTCCCGTGCGGTGTCCAGAAACAGTTTTCTCTGGGTTCGGACACTGTGTGGGAATCCCAGGCCCCGCTCTGCTGCCCTCACACGCCCCGTGCCATCTTCTGGATGGCAAACAGAGTAGAAACTGCTGTAACCTCCCCAGGAACGACGTGTACTCTCTCAGGAAAAGACACGCTAAGCTAGAAAAATGATGTAGGATTTCTGTTGGTCTGACTGTTTGATTTTTTTTTTAACAGAGGTTTCCTCTATCATAAAAAAGAAACCAAATCAAGCCAAAAAAGGAGTGAGTATTCTGCGTCAGTTACCGGACAGTTTGCCTCCACAGCAGCGTAGATGCCGAAAAGGCCGTCTCTGTCATTTTAGCTGTATTTTGAGTCAGACTGTGACAAACACAACCTTGACAAGGCCTGTGTAATGCTCAGTGAGGTGAATGTTCCACCGAGGGACAGTTTTCTAGAAGGAGTGTTTAACATTTCTTCCATCAATGACAAAATTCTGAAAAATCAGCCCAGGCTCCCCAGAGTTTGCACCTGTGGGTCGCACTGTGTGGTGAGGCCTGCGGGGCGCTCAGACTCCGTGACCCCTTCCTGGGCCGCTGCCCTGGGGCAGGCACTGGGGGCTGGTCCTGGCTGTGTCCGTGGCTGGCCATGAGCTCCCGGCCGAGTCGCTGGGCTTCCGGGAGCGTTGGCCCCTCGTCCGCGAGCTGGGATCGCGGTAACGCCCGGTGCGCGGGCGGGAGAGTATGTCAGCTGTCATGCGAGAGGTTTCAGGCAGCTTGGGTAAAATATAGTCTTCTATTTCTTCTAGCTTGGGGCCAAGAAAGGAAGTTTGGGAGCCCAGAAACTGGAGAATATGAGTTTCAGTGAGATCGAAAAACAAGCCCAAGCTGTGGATAAAATGAAGGAACAGGAAGACCTGGCCAGGGCGGCTCCTAAGGAAGAATCAATGTAAGTTGGTTTTGGTTGCAGTAGTGGGTTTTGTGAATAAAGCTGTTAATTAAATAACTCTAAAATTTACTTTCCAAACACCATTTATTTTTGCATATGTGCACAAGGAGTTTCAAGAACACTAGCCTCGTGCTGAAATGCAGGTTGGAAGGGGGAGACGGAGGCAGGCGAGCAGGGCAGCGAGCAGGGCAGCCCCCAGCCGGGCTGTGAGGGCTGGGTTGGGATGGCGTCGCCAGGGAGGAGCGATCGCCAAGCAGGCTATGTGCACATGCGCATGTGCGTGTGTGTGTGAGTGTGCAGGGGAGATGCGCAGCACCGCTAGGGAAATGCAAATCAGCACCACACTGAGGCCCTCCTCGCTCACTGCGGTGGCTGTGCTCAGAGGACAGTGGCCGGTGCCGGCGGGAGCCCAGAGGCGCGGAGCCTCACGACAACAGTGGGAAACAGTCGGCAGTTTCTTAGAAAGTCCACCATAAAGTTGCCACATGGCCCAGCAGTTCTACTGCTCAGTATATCCTCAGAGAAGCTAAAGTGCACCCCATCCTGCCTCGGCGCCACATGCATGTGTGCAGGATGCCCCTGGCAGCATCCCCTCAGCAAGAGGCAGAAGCATCCTGGAGGCCCGTCAGCTGGCGAGAGGCCCACGACTATGGCCTCTCCATGCGCAGTCACTCAGCTTTGCAGGCCCGGTCATGGCGGCCTCGTGTTGTGTGGTCCCACACAGGAAATGTCCAGACTAATCCTGGAGACGGAACTCAGGCCGCTGGTGGCAGGGCCAGGGCAGAGGAGGGCGGAGAGCCACTGTTGGTGGGGCTTGGGAATGGCGCTTCTTTGGGGCCACTGGAAGCTTCTGGAACAAGAGCAGTGATGGTCGTGTAACCTGGGACTACGAAAGTCCTGGTGTGTGAATTATAGCTCCCCGTTGAAAAGTGCACTCTAGTGTGGAAGCCGTTGGCCTGGGGCTGAGTTCCGAGGTGTGGTGGGAGGGTTAGAGGCGGTGGCGTCTCCAGAGAGCACGAGCCTGGCTCGTGAAGGGGTCTCAGAGTCACGCTGGGCGCAGAGGAGGCGCCAGGAGCGTCTGAGAGAACGACTCAGAGGGCATCAGGACGTCAGACAGGGGGACCCGCCTGAGGGGAGAGGTGGGGATGACGGTTTGGACCTTAGTCAGGCCGGGAGTTACTGTGTCGTCTGAGGGGGGGCCGGGCGGAAGGGGGGGTCCACACAGAAAAATGGGGGGAGAAACCGGAAGGCAGGGGCCGGTCAGGAGACAGGTGTGAAGCAGATGCCTGAGGCTCTCGAGAGGTTTCCTCTGTGCCGAGAGCAGAGGAGAACTGAGGCCCCCTGGAGGTGCGAGGGCTGCCGGGAAGCGGTGGGAGCACGAGAGTGGGCCACGCACCAGGGAGGGGAGGCAGCGTGAGGGCTCTTGCATGCGGTGTCTTCTAGCTCGTGGGGACCTCGTCCGCTCCGGCTGCGCAGGGGGAAGATACTCCTCACGCCCGAGCCTGTTCTGAGACGGCTTAGTGTATGCTCGCCACGTGATGGTGCCGGGCCTGGAGCTGGCCGGGGTCACGTCCATTCCTCGCTGTCCTCGCTTTGTGGCCCTCCTCGAGGGTCCAGCTGCTGCTCCTTGTCATCCGACTCGCAGCACACAGGGGCAGCATTCCCTGCAGTTGGCTCCATGGGGTTTGAAGTACCTTCTGGGGAGCTCACTTTGTTGTTTTTCTAAGATTTATTTTACATAGAAGGCCAGAGGTTGGCGGTGGGGGGGTGGTGAGAGGATTCACCAGAGACAGAGTGGGGAGCGGAACAGGTGGATCCACTGAAATCCACTGCTGAGGGGAGCGGCGGGGAGACAGGAGAGGTCTGCTGTGCCCTGTGGGTAGCTCCTTGGCCGGGGAGCAAACTCGTCCTGCAGTGGCAGCCAATAGCTTCACAGTGCTGAGATTTAACCCCTGCGCCACAGGGAGGCCCAAGCAGAGCTCACTTTGAGTTGCCTCAGTCTTGGCTTTGTTGTCTCTTAGCGCAGGGCGTCTGGCCGGGCCGGAGGTGGGGTGAGAGTGCAGCAGCGTCTGTGGGGCGTGGGCTCTGCCGCGTGCTGGGGCCTGTCCTCTTCCCAGGCCTGGTCAGAAGGGAGCCAGGAGTGCAAAAGGCCCCGCGCCCTCCCTGACGGTCAGGGGCCTCTAACCCCCACCCTGCAGGCCTCGCCAGCCTGCCTTGGGCCATTTTGTGCCACACAAGCACGCAGGACCGTGGATTTTGGTTGGAAAGGAGAAGAAAGGAGACAAGAGGTTGTTTTTGCCTAGTGAGGAATTCTGCTCTCGTTCCCTGTTACTACACAAAAATGCGTTTATGGAGCACCTTTCTTAGAGAACATTCCCCGCAGTTCCATACAGCAGACGATAGCTTAGGAGTCCTTCACGTTTCAGGGTTCTGAAATCTGGTTATTAATATGATACAGTTTGTTATTGCTAACAGGCGCTTCTTGATGGGAAATTAAGTGTTGAGAGCACTTTTAGAAATCCGAGGGCGAGGAACACTGTTTTATGCGTCTCCTGCTGCCTCTGGTGTGTTGTTCGTGACAAGTTTTTGACTGGCCGAGGACCAGTGTCTGACTGTGGTGTCAGAGAAACTCTTGGCTGAGGAACAGCGGCTCTGTGTTAAACGCTCACAGAACCTGAGGACACCCGAGGGACAGCTTGGAAACTGAAGAGTGCTTTTGTGCTGAAATAATCCCACCTTAATTTATCCATATGTAAAGTCAAATTTATACATGAGTGTCTTTATCTTAAACCAAAACAAACCAATGACAGGAAAACCCGGTATTTTTGCCATGTAATGGGGAAGGGTAATGAAATGCTAGCCCACGTCAGAAGTCCTGGATTTGGATGTAAGTCAGCTTAGCGCGCGGTAATGGAGCATAACAGGTGCGTGCACTGGGGCAGGTGCCGGCTCTGCAGCACCCCAAAGAGGCTGTAAATTCATTCGCATTTTCTTGCACATCTCCTCAAAAAAATACCTTCAGGGAAACAAGGCCAACGTGCCTTCCTCGATGTTAATTATGGAAAGAGGCACAAAGCTGGAGTCTGAGTGTTTGAGCCTGCTTAGTGTAAGGTTCAATTTTGCTTAGTATTTCAACCGAGAGATGCAGCCTGGAAGCTAAATTAAGGAGCACTTGCTCTCCCTGGCAGAGTCTCGTCGTTGCGATTAGCTTATCAGGACCTGGAAATCCAAATAAAGAGAGATGAGAAGATGAACCTGAGTGGCAAAAAAAAGATGGAGTCGGAGAGACTTGGCATGGGGTTTGGAAACTGCAGAAGGTATGTGCGACTCGCTCTCTTGGGTTCCAGATATTATTTATTGATTTATTTTTGCGTGGAAGAACTGGGGTGCAGGCCAGAGGTGTGGGGGTGAGAGGATTCGCCAGAGACAGAGTGGGGCGCAGAACAGGCAGATCTACTGAGATCCACCGCTGAGGGGAGCAGCGGGCGAGACCGGAGAGGTCTGCCGCGCCGTTTGGGTAGCTCCCCGGCCAGGGATGGGGATGGAACTCAGGCCCTAGCGCTGACAGCCTGAGGCTCAACCCCGAGGCCAGCGGGAGGCCTGGATTCCAGAATTTAAACCAGCTTGCTAACCACAGACAGCCTTTCCTTATCAATGTCAGCTTTAGAGGTGCTGCTTCATTGTTCTCTTCTTCAGCTGTGGTTGCTTTACTATTCAGTATAGCACGAAAAGTTCCAAACCTGTGGTTCTTAGAAAGATGGAGACGGGGGGGCGGGGCGCCCACTGAGCGGCACCCATGGGCGCAGGAGACCGTCAGCCTTGGCTGCAGTCCTCCCAGAGCCCGGTATTTCCCAGTGCTTAACCCCCCGCCGTGGAGCGCACGGGCCCGAGAGACTCTAGTCCTCCTTCGGTGAATCGTCTTCGGGAACTCACGTGGCGTCCCCCGCCCCTCGTTTTCCCCAGTGGCGTCTCACACTCGGTGGCCTCGGACCTGCAGACCATCGAGCAGGAGACCCCAGTCACAGCCACGCCCAGGAGGAAGTACGGCGGCGACAGCGAGGACCTCTACTTCACCTCCAGCTCCAGGTGACCGTCCTCGAGGGCCGGCGGGCTGGGGAGCGCAGGGGCCGGCTCACCGGGGTCTGCAGCGGCAGCAAGTACAGGCTCGTTCTGGCTGGAGCCAAGGTGTCCTTTGGAGTAAAAGCCGGGAGCCCCTCCTAAGTTGGCCCTGTTGGCTAATATTCCAATGTGGATCATAAGGTCGGCGCTGAGGGCTGACATCGGGGTTGGGAGGTTGTGTTTTCCTGAAAGGGGGCGCTGGAGAGGGGGCGTGGCCTGAAGGACGGGTCAGTTGTTTCGTCTTGTTCCTGCGCTGAGCCTTCCCCGCTGGGCCTTCACGCTCAGGGACTACAGGTGGCAGGACACAGTATTAGATACGTTTGTGGGCGCCCTGCACCCTCAGGGTGCCCAGGATACTTGGGCGCCGGCCATCCATTAGGACTGTCACCCCTTCTGTGTGAAGCTGACCGCAGAGAGAGCCTGGGGTGTGGGGGCAGGGAGAAGGAGTTTAAACTTGACCCTCTCTGTAAGGTTCCTCAGGGACCTGTGTAGCCTGGCCCAAGAGGTGCCAGGCAGCCCGGGGTGTGGCTGGAGCAGGCAGGGTATGAAGGAAGGCCCCGGGCCGGACGCTGGGGCTGCACCACTTAGGGACCATGGCCGGGCCGGGGCCTTTCAGTGCCTGGTGTCCACGTCTGTACCTTAGAGACCCTCAGGCGAGTCTACGTCCCAGGGTGGTGTGAGCGTGAGATGAGTTAAGACAGCCAGAACAGTCCTCGTAGCTGCTGTTGTACAGAGACACAGCGCCAGAGACGTGTGACTCAGTCTGAACATGTAATCACCGTTGTTAGATACTTAGCCACGCTGACGGCCACCTGCTGGTTTGGCGTTCATGCTTCTCATACATGTGTGGTGCCCACAAGGAGGCGCTCATGCCTGGAAGAGTCCCCTGGAGGCTGTCCAGGTGCCAGGTATCCTCGTGTTCAGAGCAGACTGCCCATGGCTATAGTAGACAGGGTTATGACAACGTGTGAAATCTAATTGTGAGACTGTATAGGCTGCTACCAAAATTCGCACATAAGGAGCGGTACCGGAGCAGATCCTTAAGAAGTCTCTTAGCATAGCTTCAAATTAGCTGAAGCCCGGATATTTTTCCAAAAGAAGTCAGCAGTTTAGTGGTCCTCCCGGTCAACTTTCAGAGCCAGGCGTAGGTTTCTACTTCCGTGTGAGTGGCCCGCATCATCACACTGCAGGCTTCAGTCTACTTAGGGGTAACGTTCAAATCGTGTCTTTTTGTAAATACATTTTGTGCAGATACCATTACATTTTTAACTGGATTTGAAAGCTGTGTCAGGTCAGATCATTTGAGGCACATGCACTGACTGAGGGAGGGGTCTGGTGGGAAGAACCGCTCATCCTCACGGGGTCCACAGCACCCATGCGGCACGTCCCCTCCCACCCACTACACTGCTCATGAGCAGCCCCCCCAGGTGCGGCCTCGGGGAGTTAGGACAGTGAGTCTCACGTTAAGTCGAAACTGCAGCTTGGGAGCCGAGGGGGAAGGAGAAGCAACTCCAGAGAGCCCCTGCCCCAGGACCCGGCAGGTGCCTCTGGGCTCCACCTGCCTGCAGGAGCTTCAGGAACCCCCAGGCGTGTGGTTTGCAACTGGGGAGCAGATGGTGTTTTGCTGGAGACCACACTCTCTGGGCACCCCCAGAGCCCGGCGCGTGTCCCCAGTCACCTGCAGGTCCTCTGACAGGACCAGAAGCTCCTTTGCTGGTCTCCCGTCAGTGGCCATTGTCAGTAGGACAAGGGTCCCGTCAGTACTTTGGCCGCGGAGGTCAAAAAAACATGGACGCCGGGAAGGCCAGCATTTCAGTCCCAAATTATCCATTAGCCCATTAGCTCTTGGAGCCTATGAATTATCAAAGAGTGCTGTTTCTCCGAAAAATAGGGTCAACCATATCTTTGGTTCCTGTTTTTATTGAATTCCATTATTTCCAGCATCAAAACGGCGAGCCTGGAACAACCGCTCAGCCCCATGAGTCAGTGTGGTTCCGGGACCAACGCCTGCCGGGGGCTGGTCCTCGGGGAGGATGTGGCTTTAGGGCGTGCTCGTCAAGGACTGTTCTGGGGCTGGGGAGGCTGGGACCGGAGGGCGGAAGTGAACGTGGAAGGTACCGAGAACTGGGATCCGGAAGTCTGAACAGGAGGACGTGGATCCAGACGCGGAGGTGGGGCCCGCCGCTCATTCTCGGGAGAGGCGCGGTGCCCGCCGGGAGCCGGTCCGTCCCTGTGCTCCCGGCCGGCCGGCGTCTGTCCCCAGCGAGTTGCTGCGCCTCCCAGGCCAACATGTGTCTTTGGAACCTCGCTCTCGCGTGGCCCCAGGCTCTCCCCGTCCCGGTCTCTCCGCTGAACAAGGATGGCCGTCTGTTCTTCCGAGCAGAGCCGGCCCCGGGCTCCTCCGCTGGCCGCCTCCTGCCACGGGGACAGCCTGCTCGCTTTCCAGCTGACATCCACACCCACCTGACCCTGTGTGCTTTCCTTCTCGGAGAGAGAAGGCGAGTGTAATGAGATTTGTCCTTAATGGCCTCTTGCCAGAGCTGCAGAAGCCACATCCGGAGACCTTGCCTTCCCCCCGTGGCCCCGGAGTCGCCTCCCGTGACGCCAACTGGTCCCTGCGCTTCTGCTCTGACTCTGCAGAAAGCCTGGTGACATGCAGAGGCTTCTGCTCCATTCTCTGCCCTTGCTGAGACCTGAGCCTTGGAATTTGCCCCCACTTCTTGACCTCCGTGAACTCTACCTCATTAGGAGCGTGCACCTGATGGCTGTTATCCCCCCCGAGCTGCGGTGAACCCCGAGGTGGCATCTTCACGTCTCATGACCGCCCCTGCCGTCAGCTCGCCCCTCAGCCCCTCTCCTGCTGCAATGCTCTGCTCTCGGTCAGTTTCTCCCACTGCACAGGACCGGACGCTGCTGCTGTTGGATGCTGGCCAATGAAGGTGTGAACTGGCCCCGCGGGCCAGCTTCTGCCTGGGATGCACACCGGCCACGCCCGCCTCACACTCAGGACTGAGAAGCCCCCCGGAACTGGTGGCAGCCATGTGGCCCCGGCTCTGGTTCCAGGAGCCGGCCAGTTAGCACTGTCTACACTGCGTGGTCATCACTGTTAGGCTCGGTACCCCATGCAACTGTCCCTGCGGGGATGCCAGGGAGGAACTCCATGATGGGGTCAGTCCTGCTGGCCCAGCTGCGCGATTGCAGCCACCTGCCTGGGCAAGACCAGGCCGCCAGGAAGTGACGTTCTCCACTGCGGAGCAGATGTGATGCTGACACGTGCTGTGCAGACACCCCGACTCTCCAGTCTCCACACCGCGACGGGCTTTCTTTTTTTAAAGATTTATTTCTTTATTTATACAAGCACTGGGTACAGTCAGAAGTGCGGGAGGGTGAGAGAATTCACCAGAGCCAGAGCGGGGAACAGAACAGGCAGACTGACGAAATACACTGCTGAGGGGAGCAGCGGGCGGCAGGAGAGGTTTTCGCGCCATGTGGGACCCTCGCCCAGCAGCTGGGGATCGAACTGCTGCTGCAGAGGCTGCGGGCAGCTTCGCAACCCAGCACTCAACCGCTGCGCCTCCGGGGAGGCCGGTGACGGGCTTTCTTCTTGCTAGAAAGTCTCTTTCCATAGCATAGAGTCAGCTGAGAGGCGGGTGACTGTCTAGATGGCCTGTCCTCCGGTGGCAACGACATTGTCCGGGTAGATGGAGATTGTCCCTACCTAAGGCTGCAGCCCTGCCTACAGCAAGGGACGCGTGGCCAGGGTGTGTGGGCACGGCAGTGCCGAGGCCTCCTGTCTGCTCCTGCGTGGGGGCCGGGTCTGCCCACATGATGCCCCGCAACTTCGAGGGGCTGGGACGCGCCATCCCCACGTACCTGTGGGGCAGACGTCAGTGAGGCCTCCAAAGTCACCTTCCTACTCTGTCCTGCAGGTACTTTGAGGAGCCGATGGAGTTCAGGACCAGTTCTTTTTCCAGCTGGGATGACAGTTCAGACTCCTATTGGAAAAAGGAGACCATCAAAGACAGGGACCCGGTTCTGAAGACCCTGGGCCACCCAGACAGGTGGGTTCAGCACATCACGGGCCCCCGACACACCCAAACCACAGCTGCTGCATCTCCAGCTCCTCCCAGCCCCTAAGCCACACAAATCCCCTCAGTATTCTGGATGGACAGGGCCGGTGTCCCCTGCCCTGGGGAAACCAAGCCCCCACTTCTCACCCTCCCCTGTGGGAGAAGTTTCAGGTCAAGAGACTTTCGTGATGCTGAGCTGCCCCACCTGTGGGGGCGAGTGACACAGGCACATGGCACGTCCCCCTCACCCTCTTCAGTGAACCCAACCTTGGATGGAGGGATGGAGGGATGGGGTGGGACCTCCTTGTGGGCCCCTGGACTCCCACAAAGGCAGCCTCATCTGTGGGTGATTTCTGTTGGGGGGGTTGAAAGCTCTAGCTCAGCATCTTGCTGACGCTCTCCCTCTGGGCCTGTTCTGCTGTCAGGCCTGCTGCTCGCCGCAAGCCAGACTACGAGCCCGCTGTGAGCACCGATGAGGCCCAGAAGAAGTTTGGCAACGTCAAAGCCATTTCATCAGACATGTACTTTGGGAGACAAGCCCAAGCCGACGTAAGTGTCCAGAGGGCGTCTCTGTGGGCCCCACGGCAGCCAGCAGGTGGCGTGAGCAGTGCGGGCGAGGGGCACCGACTGGCGGGAAGGGGGGAGGGGGGAGCTGCCAGGCCTCTGGGCCAGCGCTGAGCCAAGCTTCACACCCGGGTGCTCGGCTCACCAGCCCCTCAGCCCGGGGAGTGTCGGGCCCGTGAGGCGGGGCGCCCCTGCCCCCCTCACTCCTTTCCCAGCGCTTTGAATAGTCTTCCCTTTGCGCTCTGGGATGCATTTCAGGCAGCCCAGCCTTTGTTTTCTGCTGTGCTGTGTTTTACATGATGTTTAAGAGTTGACGTGTGTCTGCACAGTTCTGGGGGCGGACACCTGCGTTTTCAGGTTGTCGCTTCTTGTCTCAGAAAAGGTGATGAGTCCATCCATCTCAGTGGGGCTTGCTGAGCAGAAGACTCCAGGGCAAGTGTCTTGGCCCCTTCTGACCCCAGGCCCCGGGTCCTCAGAGACACTCGTGGTGGCAGCTGCTGGGCCCGTCGCGGGGCTCCGAGCCCAGGGGAGCCTGTGGTTCGTGGCAGAGAACTGTCCCTTGGTTCTGAGGGTGCTTGGCGCTCCTTGGTGCTTTGGCTGCCCCTCAAGTCAGCCTCATGTGGAGCTGAGTTTGGCCGCCCCGTGTGAGGCCTGGGGGGACTGGCCTCTGTCCCCGCTGGGTGAGTGCAGCTGCACAGCCACCTCGCTCTCTGGCCCTCTGGTGTCCCCTCCACGACTGTCGCTGGCCGCTGGCCGGGGGTACATGGCAGCTGTGAGCCGCAGGACGCCAGGCCTGGCTGTGGGGGCCACAGGGAGCCAGGACACGCGCAGATAGTGGCCCCTCCATGGTCCTGTGCACGACGGGAGCTGATGTCTCCTTTATCCTTGTCTTCTCTAGTACGAGACCAGGGCCCGGCTGGAGAGGCTTTCGGGGAGCTCCTCCATCAGCTCCGCAGACCTGTTCGAGGAGCAGAGGAAGCAGGCAGCAGGTAACGGGCCGCGGGCCGAGGGGCATCTCTAGGTGTCTGCTGCACAGACTTCCACACCCCTAGGTGGCCGCGCCTGACACTCCCCGCCCTCCTGGTCCAGAGCAGGCGTCCCATGCCACCGTGGGCGGAAGGACGAGGACTAGCTGTGGGGCCCCTTGCCATTCCGTCTGCGCCTGCCCACCCGGAGCGAGGTGCCGCGGCCGCCGCCCGTCAGCCCCACACGCGTCCGCCTGAGCCCCGAGCGCCTTCTGTGGCTTCTTGTTCACTCGTGTTGCTGGACCTTGGGCCCCCGAGCCCTTGGCCAGTCTCTTCTTTCCTCCTTGCTCTGACCCAGAGTCCAGCAATGGGGCCTTTGGGGCCCACGAGCCTCAGAAGCGCTGACCTCGGCCTGGCCAGGAGCTGCTGGTGATTTGCGGGTGTGTCTGTCCCGCACTGAGGCTGGGGGGCGCTGCGGCCCAGGCTTCCTGCCACCAGCCGGGTCCCTCTGTGGCCCTCAGTGTCCTCTAGGCCGGCCTTGCTTCCGCATCTGGCTCGTCGGCCCTGCCCTCTCAGTTCATTTTCTCTTGACTTGTTTTCATTTCAGGGAGATTAGTACACGATGTTCTACTGAAAATTCATTGTTTGGACAAAGTGCTGGGAGCCGTGCTGGGCACCTTCAGTGTGCGGCCCCGCAGTCCCGCCCAGGCCAGCCTCCCTGTGCCCCTGGCCACAGCCACAGCCCTGCCTGGGCCTCCTGCCTCTGGGCTTGGCATCCTCCCATGTCCCTCCAGAGGCCAGTCTAGTCATCCTTTGTTTCAAATCCCGCCCCTGGCTTCGGGCGTGGCCCCACCACCAGGTCATCCACCCTCAGGGCTGTGGCTCCTGTTCCCTTTACCACTGGCCTGGCTACCCCTGGCCCCCCAGGGCCTGTCCCTCCTCACCCGCCACCCCTGGTGTCCGCAGGCCTGGCGAGGGGAGCCCTCACTCGGGTGAACGAATGGACGGTAACACGGGAGCTGTGCAGCTGGGGCCCCACAGCTAGTCCCCATCCTTCCGCCCATGGTACATGGCCTGGCGCGACAGGCACACAGCCTGGTGTGTCCCCTCCAGCTCCACGAGCCAGGGAGAGCCCCCACCTCACTGGCTGCTCTAGCTGGAAACCTGGGAGGCCCCTAGTTCATGTCCCTCCTAGTCCCCACGGCCAGCGGGTCAGTGGCCTCCTCAGGACACAGCCCCATATGCCCAGGGTCCCACTGCCCAGCCTAGGCTGCCCACAGGCCCCTCGGCGGACCCCATGTGCCCGCTGCCCTGGCTGCGTGTTGTCTGCGGGGGAGCAGGGCTGGGCCCAGCCGGCCCGCGGCAGGTGTCAGGGACTGAGAGCAGGGAGCGGGGGCCGGATGAGTCCGCGGGCCCAGGGGCCCCCTCCTGAGGAAGCGTCTGCACTGCTGTTTCCTGAGCCCATTGTGTGACCGAGACAGCATCTGTGGCCCGCGGTGGCCGGCCCAGCCTGCTGCCCCAAGGGCCCCCAGACTCGCATCGAGTTCCGGAGGAGGCTTTAGGGCTCTCAGGCTCTGCTGTCAGGCTCCGCCTGCTGAGGTGGGACCCGCGTCCGCCGCTGCCGTGGGGTGGGCCTCTGCTCGGACAGGGGAAGGCCTCCAAGGCTTTGAGGTCAGCGGGGCTGTGGAGCGGAGGACCCGGCCCGGCATGCGGGGTTGGGGCCGGCGCGCCCCGGCCCAGTTCGTCCTGGGAGAGGGGCCTGGTGCTTGTGCTTCCGGGCACGGCGGTGTCCGGGTGCGTGTGGGCCTGCGGGGCAGCTAGGCTTGGCTCCCCAAAGGGCTGCTTGGCTCACTCGCATCCCCCCCGCAAGCGTCTTATTACAGCTACAAGACCTACTACAAAAGTTAACCCCAAGCCCCGCCTGGCAGCTCTGGGGGCCCATGAGGTGTGGCCACGCCGTCGGCTTCCCGGGGCTGGGATAAACGTGTTGATATTTGCGTCGGGGTGGCCAAGACGTGAGCGATGGGGCTGCGGCCACTGGCTCAGCGGGAAAGGGCGGACGGGCTCTGGCCGTGGGGGCTGCCCGAGAGCTGGGCTGCAGGTCGGGCAGAAAGTGGTGCCGGGCAGGCTCACCCACGCGGCCCCCCTGGGGTGCTGGGCTGTGTGTGTGAACGGGTGTGTAACGGAACCAGGGCCTCGTAGTGTCGTTTCTGGGATTTCTTCTTCCCCCTCGACATCCCACGGAAAGGCAGCTGGGGGAGACAGTGTCGCTTCAGGGCCCGCTGTGCTGGGGCCGCTCCCCCCAGGAGCAAGCGGGAGGGCGGCCGTGCCTTACCCCCGTCACCCCACAGCCAGCACCGCTCCTCTCTGAGGCCGAGGAACCCAGAAAGGCTCTCATCGGCCAGGCCTGGTCACGGCATCCAGAGAAGGGCCAGGGCCTCCACAGAAGGGGACATGGGCGGCTGCGCTCACGGCCGCGCCTCTCTGGTCTGGGGTCACCCCCTGGAGGGAACGGCCCGGAGACCGAGGCCGCCTCGGAGGCGCACACGCTGCTGGCCTGGAGCCCCAGGGCCCGGCTGCCCTCGGGTGGGTCTTGTGGCTGGTTCACGGGGACAGCGCCCAGCCTCCCCCCCCTGCCCTGGGAACTCCCGAGGGGAAGCGGGAGGGAGGGGTCCCAGGGGCTCACGGTCCCCAGCCGGGGGCGCCTGGACCGTCTGCCGAAGCCCCGTGACCAGCGTCTGCTCCGCGCAGGAAACTACGCCCTGACGAGCGTGCTGCCCGCCGCGCCGGACATGGCCCAGCTGAAGCAGGGCGTGCGCACCGTGGCCGGGAAGCTCTCCGTCTTCGCCAACGGGGTCATGACTTCCATCCAGGTCAGTGGGGCCGGGCGGAGCGCGGCGCGGGGCGCGGGGCCGGGGCTCCGAAGTCAGGTCTGGGCCAGGCTTCAGTGGCCGGGAAGTTAGGTTTCCGGTCACGGACGTCTGTGTCCGCTGCAGCGTGGCCCGCGGCGTTCTGGAAGCCGGAGCGCGGGCCTTCCCTCCGGCCGGGTTTTCAGATTCCTGGCTCGAGGGGATCGGGCACAGGAAGTGCCGTGACCGCCCCCCACTGTCTCCTGCTCTGAGCAGGGAAATTAAGAAGGAACTAACGTGCAGTGACCCGGAACCCCACGGGAACCCCAGGGGGCCCGGCGCTCAGCCTCTTCAGGGCTGGGTCTCGGGCTGGGTTTCTGGGCGTCATTTTCTGGGCACATTTTTTGAAGTGAGAAAGGACTGTTGTGGGGCCGGCTTTGTCCCGTTTTTCTCCACCACGTTGTGTTGCGAGCATTTCCATGTAATTAAAATTCCTTCAGAAGCCACTCTGTGGAGTGAACATAATGCCATTTGTTCAGCTGGCCTGTTGCTGGCGACCCTTCCCAGCGAGGGGGTGCAAATGCCTGTGGGGAGGGCGGGGGCGGGGGCTGGTCGGCTGCGCTGCAGGCTTGTTCCCTGTTGCTCTTCGGGCTGTTTGGGAGGGACTTATTGATGTAAAACGTGGCCAGAAGACGTAGGGCCTGATGGAGGGGAGACCCTGGACCTCCAAGGGGATCCCCAGGTTAGGAGGGTGGGGTGCCCCTCAGGCGGAGGGGCCTTGGGCCCTGCGCGTTTTGCCGTCCCTCTGGCCAGCTGCACTCACATCGTTCCTCGCCCCAGAGACACCCCAGTTTGACAGATGGTCACCCCCATTTCATAGGTAGAGACACAGGCACAGAGAGGTTAAGTCACTTCTGCAGGACCCCTCCGCTGGCCAGAATTTCAGGGTTCAGACTCCCAGCATATGCCCTGCTCCCTGGAGGTGCCTGCCCGCCCCCTCCCCCCGCCCAGGGCTCAGCATTCCTGACCTCACTGCCCCTCGCCCCCGCCCCCAGCCCAGGGGCCCACCAGAGTCCCTGCCAGCCTCCGTGAGAGGTGCAAACGCCTGTGCTCTCCCTCCAGGACCGCTACGGCTCCTAGGCCCGTCCGAGCCCCCTGCAGGAGCCTCCTCCCTCGGGCCAGGGCCGGCCAGGCCGCCACGGAAGGAGCCACTTTGGCAGATCGTTTTGCTACTTTTCACATCGTACACGCACTTGATTATTGCCTTTGAGAATCCCTGTTCCGATGCAGAGCTGACCGTAACGTCCGGTGTCACCCGCGCGTGCGCTCCCGCCTGCCCGAGCCTGCCCTGCTTTCATCTTGGGACCTTTAGCTCTAACCGCGGGGAGCTGGAGACCCCTCCCTCCGCTCTCCCAGCACCGGGAGCCCCACGTGGGGCCCCAGCGCCCCGTTGCCGACCGGGCTGGAGGCAGGGGACCCGCAGCGCACGCAGCCTTCAGAAGAGGGAGCCCAGAATAAAAACAAAAGACCGAAAATGACCCTTGTCCGGTGCGACAAACTGCTTCACTTGTGTTTCACATATTAAGGTGATTTCAAAATAATGTTTCCAGTCATCCGTCCCTTTGTAAATTGTTTATTTTGTAGGATCTATAAATTTAAAAATAATTTTCAGTGAGTGCTTCTTAACACAACTGAGCTTCCACACGGCCAAGGGAATTAATTTTCTCTTCGGACGCGGTGTTGCTGTTTGAGCTTCAGAGAAATGTAAGACGAGACTCCCCGGGCTGCTTATAAATGGGCGTGGTACGCAGAGCTGCAGAGAGTAATGCAAGCAGGTGCGCCCCCAGAGAACGCCTCACTGTAGGGGAAAATATCATTGAGTAGTTTGTTAATATTTTTTATCTTAATCTTGGGTTTGCAAAAATTACAGCATATGTGTAAATGAATAAAGAAAAATAATTGGCTGTGTTTTAGACAGCAGTAGAATATATTGTTCAGCAAAGTAAAATATATTTGAAATTTGAACCAGAGATGTGGTTTCAGCTGAATATTTTGTGAATCTTTCTTAAAACCTAAAATTTGTAGCCTTCTAAATGGAATAAAGAGTTACAGCAGGCGTCCTGTCTCCCTGCGGGCGCCGTGCGGGGCTGCCGGCCTCCCCCCCACCCCCCCTTCCCGATGCAGCGGGCCCGGGTGGTCCCGGGGAGGGGGCCATGCTGGAGTGAGGGTGTGCATGTGCAAGCGAGCGCGTGTGTCTCAAGCTCTGAGCGCTGGGGATACCCCCATGCGGAAAAGAGCCCCCTCTTCCTGCTCGCGCCAGAGTCCAGGGCGAAGGCGTTGCAGGGCTGGTTTCTGGAGAGGCCGCCCTCCTGCGCGGGGCGGGCCACCCTCTCCTCGTGTCCTTCCTCACATGGTCTTCCCCAGAAGGAGCCAGACATGGGGTGTCGCTCCCCCCCACAAAAGGACGCCAGTCCTCTGGGGCCGGTCCCGCCCTGTGTGCTCAGTTACCTCACCTCCTCCCCCTGGGGCCGGGGCATGGGCACACTGAGGGGGATGACCTCCCTCTGCCCTTCGAGGTTCTTGGCCGTGAGGCCCCCTGTAGTCAAGGGCTGATCAACAGGGAAAAAACACATTTAATGTCAAGGCCCAGGGCCCCAAAGACAGCAGACGGCAGAGAGGCTCAGTCCCTGTTCTATTTTTTTTTTTTAAAGAAATGCAGATTTGGGCCTCCCCGGTGGCGCAGCCATTGAGCGCTGGGTTGCGAAGCTGCCCGCGGCCTCTGCGGCGCCGGTTCGATCCCCGGCTGCTCCCCGGCCACCGGAGGAGGGTCCCACATGGCGCGCAGACCTCTCCTGCCGCCCGCTGCTCCCCTCAGCAGTGTCCTTCGGTCCTTCTGCCTGCTCTGCTCCCCGCTCTGGCTCTGGTGAGTCCTCTCACCCTCCCGCGCTTCTGACTGTACCCAGTGCATGTATAAACAAAACAAACAAACAAACAAACAAACAAACAAACAAACAAATAAATAAAAGAAATGCAGGTTTTAATCTCCTTTTTTTTTTTAAAGATTTATTTGTTTATACAAGCACTGGGTACAGTCAGAAGCGCGGGAGGGTGAGAGAATTCACCAGAGTCAGAGCAGGGAGCAGAACAGGCAGACTGACGAAGGACACTGCTGAGGGGAGCAGCGGGCGGCAGGAGAGGCCTGCACGCCATGCAGGACCCTCACCCGGTGGCCGGGGAGCAGCCGGGGATCGAACCGGCGTTGCAGAGGCTGCGGGCAGCCTCGCAACCCAGCGCTCAACCGCCGTGCCACCAGGGAGGCCCTCAGTCCCTGTTCTAACGAAACGCTAGGGTCTAGACTAAAAAAGAAAATGGCAACCTGGATCCCAGGGTCCCGTGGAAGCTGGCACAGCCAGGCTGAAGGGCCAGCCTGGCGCCTTGGGGAGTGTTTGCCTGCTTGGCTCTCGGCCGCATCAGGCCCTGGAGTCTGCGGAAGCGGGAGCCGCCGCCAGGGAGGGCCGCAGCCGGGACCAAGGACACCAACGCTCGGTGAAGATGCTGCGTGTTTTGTTCACCTGAAAGAGCTCCTGGGAAGGCAGGCAGGTCGGTGCACTAGAGACGGAGGCGCTGCCCGGAGAGGGGGGGTCCCACAGCTCCCCCAGCAGGGAGAAGCTGCGGCTCTCAGCCCAGCCCGGGTGGAGGAGGCAGGGAAGCAGCGCCCAGGCCGGCCCCCAGCCCTCCTGCCCTCCTGAAGCTGCTTTGGATGCTTCCGGGCAGCCAGGACCTGCCGGGCCTGACCCCCACGGCTTACACACTGCAGAGACTCCCCTCTACCCTGAAAGCCGGGGAGCCTCCCTCCATCTTGGGGGAGATCTGTGGGTGCCACCCCAGAGTGCACCCCGAGTCTCACACTGAAGCCAGGGTCCCCTATCGCCCTGGTCAGGGCGACTTACTTCCTCCCAGAACCTCCCAAAACCTGACAGGGGCCCGTGGGCCATTCCCCTCCCCTCCCCTCCCCCCACTGCCCCTCCCCCTCCCCCACCGCCCCACCCCCACTGACTCCTCCTTTCACTGCCTGCCTGGGGAAAGGGGCACAAAAGGGGAATCCCCTCCAGGGCCTCACCCTTCCTCTCCTCCCCAGTGCCCCCTGCTGCCCCTGGCTTCGCCTCTGGTGCCACCTCGCTGTGTCTGGCTGGCAACTGTCCCCGGCCCGCCCGCCTGGGGAGGCCACGTGGGTGGGGGTGAGGGGCAGGCCGGCGGCCCCTTTCACACTCGCCCTCTTGGTCTGCGCCCACCCTCCCCTGCCCACGCTGGTCCCGGCAGTCGCGGGGTGGAGAGCACAGCCTCAGAGGCCTCGCGGCATGGGGAGACGGCGCTGGGCACCCTAGCCTGGGGTCTGGGCCTGTGGGGGACTCAGGCGACCTGGGGATGAGACTCTGAGGCCCCGCCCCTGCCCGAGGGGCCCAGCCCCACCTCCGGGAGGGGTCCCTCCTGGCTTGAGGGGCACGGGACACGGCTGTGTGCAGGGGGCGGCATGGAGTCTCCAAGGTGCCCCTTTTCCTGTTTGTTTCTTATTGCCTGGCTCCCCGCCCTCTGTCTCCCTAAGGCACGTAGGGTGGCAGGAGCACCCGCCCCGCCTGGCGCAGACCTGGACGGACAGATGGACGGACGCCAGGGGTCCCTCTGATCACTCAGGCCCCTCTGCAAATGGGCCCTGGACCCCCTGTCCTGGTCCCTCTCCTGCGCACTTGGGGGTCCTGCGTGGCCACGGCAGGAGACACCACCCAACGCTGTGGAACCGAGAAGGGGCCTCTCAGCACACCGTGGACGGGCACAGGATACAGATGGGAAGCAGCCGGGACGCAGCTCTCAGACACTCTGGCCCGAGGGAACGCGGCGTCGGGGCCTGGGCCCTGGGCCCTGGGGAGGGAGGGCAGCGGGACTTGCCAGATGTGCTCCTAAGTCACACGCATGGGTAGTCGGTGTGGGGAACGGGGTGGGGGGAGCCCTTCAGGGGCCGGACTGGGGGGGTACCTTGAGAGGGGTTCACAGAGACGGCCACAGCCCAGTGAGCACAGGAGGCGTCCCCAGCTCCCGGGGAGTCGGAGGCCACGCAGCCCGAAAGACCCGTCGCTCTGCAGAGGGAGAGGAGATCCTGCAGAAAGAAGCAGAGTTGAGCTACCCCTTTCTGGTAAGAGGTGAGGACTCGGGGGTGGAGGGGAGGAGGGTGGAGGGAGAGCTGGGCAGTGGGGCTGGCGCTGTCTCCCCCTGGCCAGGACCCTCCCCCGTCCCGCTCGCAGCCCCACAGAAACGCTCCTTTCCCGGATGGGGAGGCCGGTGGGTACATGCCAGGTGCCAGGAAAGGGTGGGGGGAGAGGAGAAATGGAGAGGCGAAGAGAGACGGGGCGCTTTTTAGGGGGCTAGGGGAGGCGGCTCCGGCGGTGACATTGGAGCAGACTCAGCTGACGTGAAGGAGTAACGAGGAGAGCGGCTGCAAGTGCAAAGGCCCTGAGGCTCGCAAGGAGCCCTGGGAAGGCCAGAGCAACAAGCAGGGTCAGCTGGGGTCAGAGATGGTGCTGGCCAGTCACCGTGGGGTCTTTGCCATTTTATTTTGCACAAAATGAGATGCCCCAGGAGCGCCTGAGCGCAGCAGCACGACCTGACCTTTCACTGGCAATGCTGAGAATGTGCGGGCTCGGGCGGGCGTGGGAAGACGGCGAGGAGGCCGCTGCGCAGTCAAGGCCCGGGGGCCGGAGATGTGGCTTTAGGGTTTATCTGGGGTAAAGGCGGAGGCGCGGGCTTTGCCGAGGCATTACACTGGAGGGTGAGAGCAAGTCAGGGATGGGGACTCCAGCAGCTGGGAAGGGGCCGATGAGGGGTTGTGGGCTCCGGGGGAGCCCACGGAGAGGTTGGTTTGGGGTGTGCCCCTCCGAGATGCAGCTGGATTCCCAGGCTGGCTCTGTGAGTCTGGAGCTCAGGGACCGGGTGGGGCAGGAGCCTTCAGGCTAGACAGAAATGGCTTCCAAAACCGGCTCCGTTCAGGTTTGCGTGTGGCTGCTTTTAGCAGAAACCCCCAAACGGTGTCCACATTCAGACAGGCTTGTTTTCCTTTGCTCAAAGCGTGACCCTGGTGAGCAGCCTGGGGGTGGTGTGGCATGACCGCTGGCCAGGGCCTGGCAGCCACTCATTTCTCTGCTAACCTTCCTGGCGTGGCCTTCACCCCATGAGCTCAACACGGCTGCCTCCGCTCCAGCCATCGAGGGTGCGTTTCAGGCAGGAAGGGAAGGACAAAGGGGTTGGATGCCCCCTGTCTGCCTCCCCCCTGCACCTTAATGGCCAGAAATGGTCCCAGGCCCACCCTGAGCTGCAGTTAGAGGTGCGGGAGGAGAGGCTCAGGGAGGCCCGCAGAGGCCCGGGAGGAAGGAGCGGGTGGCCAGGAGGGGCGCGAGTGTCCCGGCCATGCCAGCGCTGGCCTTGGGAGTGAACAGTGAGCAGGACGCCTGCGTGTCTGCATTTACTGACCAGACCTCACAGAGAGGGTCAGGCCCTGCGTTGCTGGCTCTTGTCACCCCCACAGCAACCGTGTGGGGTGCACATCCCCTCTGCCCTTATAAATGGGGAAACTGAGGTACAGGGCAATGTCCTAGGACAGGCGGCTGGAAGGCGGTGGAACCAGGACCAGCCGTTTGCATCTGGGCCTCCAGCATCCCGGGGATCCCACTGTAGTGCCACAGGATGTTACCTGGGTGTCTGTGTTTGGGGGCACCCGTGGCAAGTGTGAACCAAGACATGTTCCCACTCCCACCAAACCTAATGCGCCCCTGACCCTACTTCCCTCTGGCTGGATTTCCCAAACCCCACGGCCAGGCCCAGCAAAGAGCGCCGCCCTGGCCATGGGAGCCGGAGAGGAGGTGGAGGCGCAGGACGGAGCCAGACCCCTTCCCCTGCGCCCCAACCCCGCCTGCTCCAGCTTAAATAAAACCCCAGGGAGGGGCCTGATGGGCTTTGTGCAGGCAAGAGCAGCCCCCACCAACCAAGCAGCCTGAGAGGGTGTCAAGCAAGAACTAGAGCTTCTGTTACCCCACGCAGTGGGTGTGATGTTCCTAGGAGAGGG